TTAATCATATTTTAATATTTTTAATTTATAATTTTTTTATTTTAATTAAACTATTTAGTTATCGTAATCTTAATTTATAATTATTTTTACTAAAATAATTTTTAATTACTTAATATTTACATAATATCTAAAACTCCGTGTCTAAGCAAAACGATACAATTTAAATGGAATTGAGGTAGTATATTTTTAGTATAAAAATAATAAAATTATATGTTTTTTTATTAATTTGACTACTTCCTCACATTTTTTTATTTTATTAAAATCTTTGTAATTTTGTTTATTTGTACTTTTCATTTTTTACTTTCTTAATAAAAATATTAAATTTATATGGTTTTGTTGAACTTTTTCTTAAATATTAATTTTTAATTTTTGTTTTTTCACTTCTTCTCCTTTAGCGCCGGAAGAAATGGAAAAAAAGATAATACTCCATCCGTCTCATGACTATGTATCCGTTTGCTTTTTGTACTAATTTTAAAAATATTAATATTATATTAAGATGCAGTAGAAATAACTAAAATAATCTTATTAGTATGTGTGATATAAACGTAATGACATTTGTGTAATATGTTGTAAGTTGTAAGGGTATTTGTAATGTTAGGTAGACAGTACAGTTACTAAAAAAAAATGAATATTTTATTATGGGACGGACTAAAATGAAAAAATAGATATTTTATTATGAGACGAAATGAGTATTAAATTGATAAAAATAAAGTCAACCAATAGATTATATTTAGCGATTGCAATATATATATATATATATATATCAAACTAAAACACTAAACAAAAATAGTCATAATTACTGAAAATGTTATCCGAAATTCATGAAATGCTCAACAAAAATAATATAAAAAATGCAAAATTTTTAATCAATAAGATTATAATACATACCATTATTGTTTATATTAATTAATGGATTATATAATCACAGAATAAAATAATTTAATATTTACTATAATTTATTATTAGATAGCCATATTATTTTTACCTAAAATAATTTTGATTTATATGATATAATCAATGTTAGCTTAGTTATTAACGAAAAAATAATCCTTTCGCATATATAGTATTTAGGATAATTTATCCCGTATGTGTCTGAAGGTTACAATATCATTTTATGTTATTGGATTTAATATTAAAAATAATGTTATATTTGTATAAAAAAAATTTTTTACAAATATTATTATATTGGTATTATATGACAATAATAGTAATTTTTTTTGTTATTTTTCTTTAATTTGTACAGCATTATATTTTGATATAATAATTAATATTTAAAAATCAACACACAAAAACTAAATACAGTCTTTAGAGCCGAAAGAACGAGAGTATATAATTTAAGAAAATTATTAAAGTTGAATAAACAAATAAAAAAAAAAATCAAAGTTAAGAGAATTGCAATATATATATATATATAATTGAAATAATTTTATATATATATACTTTTTGAGGAAGGCGGTCCGTGAATTAATTCGCAACCCGATCGCTGTAACAAGTAATTATTGTATGTATGTGTATAATTAAAAATACCTGCTATTAATTACTACACACGGTCACTCCTTCACACGTGTATATATATATAATATATATATATTCCCTCTCTTCCATCGGAATTGAATCATTTGATTAGGAACACAGTATTTAAGGTGATGATATTTAATTAATTAATAATAATTAATTCTGATATTATTATATTATTTTTTTTTATAATTAATAATATTTATAGTTTTAAAGTAAATTTAATATATATGATTAAAAAAATTAAAATATATGTTTAAATATTTAAAAATTATATAACAATTAAAAAATATATGCAATATTGATATCATTTTGTACATAATAATATTTTTTATAATACAAGTAAATAAAAAAAAATTGTTTATTTATATTAATATAAATTAATTTTATAAAGGACATGTAGCTTTAAATATAGATAAAAATATTTATTTTTTTAAAGGAGAGAGGTAGAAACAAAGGGGTTTTTGAGTGAGTCCTACGTCATTTATGATGTTGTCTGATGTAATTAATTAAGTTGTTTATATTTGTTAAATATATTTTGATTTAATAATTTTTACCAAAAATAAGAAGATGTTAATTATTATGGAACAGACAAAAATGAAAATAGTATCAATTATGATGGGAGGGATGGAGTATACATATTACTCCCTCCGTCCCATGTAATATGGGTGTATTACTGTAGACACGAGAATTTAGGTAAAGTATAATTAGTAAGTATTAAAAATTATATTAGTAAAAATAATTATTATTTAGTAAAAATAATTTTAGATTAAGATTAAGATAAATAAATATTTTAATTAAAATTAAAAAAATTATAAAATTTAAAATTTAAAATGTGATTAAAGTTCATAATTATATTTTCAAAAATAGAAAGGACAAGTTATATAGAACGGACAAAAATAGAAAATAGAGACAAATTATATAATACGAGGAAATAATATTTAAAGGCATAGCATTAGCATGCAGGGGCGAGGGAAGATATGTTATAGATGCATACAGATATATACCTAATTAATTAAGTAGGGTAGGGTAGGGTAAGAGAGAGGGGGAGGGGCGTCAGAGTGATGTCACTACTACGTAACGTACCTTCCTTGGTTCGTTCCCCATTAAAGGCCCAGACCCAACCCTACCCTACCCGACCCAAATCAAATCTACCTTATTAATGTTGTTTTTCGCACGCACTGCGTCCTATTCTCTCCATCTCAGATACCGTGTTTGCTACACTGTAGATACGGTATTTTAAAAGGGATGTAATTAGTAGATAATTAAAAATGTATTAGTGAAAATAATTATTATATAATATAGGATAATTATAAATTAAGATTAAGATAACTAATTAATTTAATTAAAATTAAAAAAAATTAAAAATTTAAAATGAGATTAAAGTGTGTAATATTTTCCAAAAAATAAAAGTGACATGGTATGTGAGACGGACAGAAACGGCAACGTGGACATAGTATATGGGACGGAGGGAGTATTACACTCTACTAAATTATTAATGCCCACGCTGTAATGCTTTCCATCTGTCAAATTTATTTATTTTTATCTCTTTGTTAAATTTATTTTATTATTATATTTAAAAAAGTTAAAAATTAATATTTAATTATTATCTTTCATTCAACCCTTATTTACAATAAATATCATTAATTTTATTATATTATCTCTCTCGTACTCTTTATTTACTAATTAAAATTTTAAAAATACTTTTAACTACTTTTTAACTTTTTCAATTTTTTTAATAAATTATTTATTTTTCTTAATTATCGTACCGAGTCCAAATGGATTAAATATTGTGGACAGAAGAAATATATATGTATGACGACAATTAAAGTGTTGACTTAGTTATATATTGTGTTATATATAAAAATATATTGTATAAGTTATATCTCATTCGTTCGCCTCTAAGGGTTGCGTTTATATTTTGCATAATTGTACTTAACATTAAAAATGTTCTTATATTTATATAATTTTTGTACAAATATTCTTCTATTAGTATTATAAGACACTAATGAAAATATTTTTGAAATTTTTTCTTAATTTATACTACGTTTTGATATAATAATTAATATTCAAATATCAATACGCAAAAAATAAATGAGATCCTTAAAGCCGGACGGATATAGTATATATATAATAATATATTGTATAAATTATATATTATGTCGTATAAATTTCTTATAATGTTGAAATCATAATATATTATGTTACATATAATTATATAATATGCTATCAAAATATGTGTTATATATTACCCATTCCGTGTCACCTTTAGTATTTATTTTTGTAATTTCTAATTATAGTAAAAATGATTATATTTGAATATCAAAATACCTCTAATTTTTACAAAAATATTTATTTCATATGCTCCCTCCATCTAAGATAAATTGTCTGCATTATTACAGATACAAGATTTTAGGTAAAATATAATTAATAATTAATTAAAAAGTATATTACTAAAAATAATTATAGTGTAAAAAATTTATAAATTAATATTAAGATAATTAAATAAGTTAATTAAGATTAAAAAACTATAAATAATGAAATTTTAGATATAATTAAAGTGTATATTCATAATTCTAAAAAAAAAAAGAAGAAGAAGAAACAAGACAAAGTATGTGTGACGGATTGAAATTTAAAAAATAAATAATTTATATGAAAGGAAAAAAAAATATCAAATCAGTAAAATAACTTAAACATGTGCATATATATACTCATTTCTGTCCCATAAACTTAGAGCACTTGTGTTTGACACATAGTTTAAAAAAAAATGAATATTTTATTAAAAAATAATAAAATTAAAAAAAGTAGTTGGAAGTATTTTTAAAAATTTAGTTAGAATAAAAGAAAATGAGAGAAAAATAATACTCCATCCGTCCCAAACACTCTACAATATTTTTTTTTGTTTGTCTCAAACTCAACATTTCTAAATTTAGAAATAATTAATAATATTTATATACATATATTAATGTATACTTCACTTTATTTTATTACATCACTCAAATAAAAAAATAAATAATCATTTCTCTCTCTAATCACATCACTTAATATACAAATTATCTCAAATTACCATACTTAATACTTCCCACCTAAATTCTCGTGCCAAACACAAATGTTGCACGGTGTTATTTGGGAGGGAGGGAGTAATAAATATAATAACATTTGTTGCAAATAATCGTTGAATTTAGAATAATAATTAAATGTTGATTTTTTGATTTTACCAAAATTAATAATAAAAATAAATTTAATAAAAAATAGACTTTAAAAAATAAATAAATAAATTTAGCAAACAAAAAAAAATATCTTCTCGGGGATTAATACATTATAGATTCCATCTGTCCCTCCCGCTGCCTTTATTCAGCTCCTCCATCCTCTCCTCCAAATTTAATTAATTATACAATATATATATATATATATATTATTTTTCCGTGTAGGTTATAAATAGATACAGAAATAGCTTAATCTGTAGTGTCGTACTTGTAGTAGTAGAGTGCCGTAGGAAAATGGGAAAGACAAAATTAGAGGAGGAAAAGGGAGAAGTGAAGAAAGGACCCTGGACCAGAGACGAGGACCAGAAACTCCTCTCTTACATTGACCAGCACGGCCACGGCAGCTGGCGCGCCCTCCCTGCCAAAGCCGGTCTCAACATATACATACACACATATATATATATATATATATCATCATATATCAAAATTAAAATAAATAAATAAATAAAATCCATTGCAGGTCTTCAGAGGTGTGGGAAGAGCTGCAGGCTGAGGTGGACCAATTACCTGAGGCCAGATATTAAAAGAGGCAAGTTCACCTCCAACGAGGAGAAGGCCATTATACGACTCCACGCCCTTCTGGGAAACAGGTCAGACAAATAAATCAAAATTAATATTATTAATTAAGATTGTAATTGTAATTGTAATTGTAATGATTCAGGTGGTCGGCCATAGCCACACACTTGCCGAAGAGGACGGACAACGAGATCAAGAACTACTGGAATACCCGACTCAAGAAGCGCCTGACCCGGATGGGTATCGACCCGATTACCCACAAGCCCAGATCCGGATCCGGATCCCACTCCGCCTCCTCCTCCGCCCTCGTCACCCACATGGCCCAGTGGGAAACCGCCCGCCTCGAGGCGGAAGCACGCCTCGCCCGTGACTCCAAACGTCCACTTCCGTACAACAAACTTCACCCTATTCAGAACCTCGCCGTCCCGCCGTCGCCGGCGCCGGCGCCGGCGGCCCCGTTCCTCGACGTGCTCAAGGTCTGGCAGTCCAGCGGCGCTCGCAGCACCTTCTTCTGCCAATCACCGTCCGGCGGCGGCGGCGGATGCCTCGATTCCCCGACCTCGACGCTGAATTTCTCCGGCGGCTGCTCGGCGGCGCCGGGGAGCTCGCGCATGGCGGCGTCGAAGTGTGAGGGGGTTGAGGAATGGGCGGAGCAGCCAAGAGTGGAGAGTAATTCCGTTCATTATCAGTTTCAGTTGATTCATCACGACGACCGCCGCTTCGCCGTCGTGGATTCGTCGGATCATGGCGGCGGCGGCGGCGGCGGCATGAACGGCGGCGATGAGTACAGCAACGGCACGGCGGTGGATTTTGAGGAGAACAAGAATTATTGGAACGAACTGCTGAATTTGGTGAGTTCGCCGGCGGAAGCGCCGGGGTTTTAGAAGTGCTATTATACGACGTCGGATTGGAGTTAATCGCTGTGGTTAACTTATTATCATAATGTGATTATAATGATTTATCTTATTATTATTATTATTATTATCAATCAAAGTAGTAATAATAGTAGTGGACGTTTATTTATTATCATCCTTCGCAATTACTGTTTTTATTTCGTTATCTCTTTTAATTTTTTTATTTATATTATATATATTTTAATATTCAAATTACTTTATTTGTCACTATTACAATAAGTTACTCCCTCCATCGTTGTCGTTTACTTTTTGTTCGTAAATTTTTTAATATTACTATTATAATGAATTATAGTGAAAAAGACAAAAATACCTCTAATATTGTATAATATAAAAATAATGACATTTGTGTAATATAGTGTAAATTGTAAGAGTATTTATTTATGTAATGACAATTATTAAATTAGGAAAAGATAATTTTATTTCGGAACAGACGAAAATGAAAAATAACATACGGAGGGAGTATAATAGTACTCATCTCCAAACACATATGGGTATATTTCTTTACTCCAAATTTTACCATATGAGTATAATTTTACTCATCTCCCTAATTTTTAATATAATAGTTTTGTTTATTATTATGTTCGTTTCAAAACAATAGTTTTATTTTAATAAATTATTATATCATCGTAAAATTATCATACTTTTTTATTTTTATTACACAATCGTCACTACTTTTTACACTAATATACTCATATGAGCAAAAAAAGTCTTTTACTTGTAATTTTTATTGACTACTAATATTCTTTAAGTCTCGTGCTCATCCCAATTAAAACTATAGTTCTGAGGCCGAGAGGATAGGTATTTTTATATATTTTTATTGTCTAATAATATTTTTATATTTTAATTTTTAAATATTAATCTATATAAATTTTAGTATATTAGAACATATAATTATCATTTTAAAAATAAAAAAAAATTATTAAAATAAATCAACATTTATATAGATAACTTTGTTAAATTTAAAATTTTTAAAATTTCAAAAAAAATTAATAATTTTTAATTATTTATTTATTTTTTAAAAATAATTCATTCTTGATAAAGATAATAAATAACGTAATTACAATATATATTATTAAAGATGATTAGTTTTTATAGTAAAAATTAAAAAAAGGTAATAAAATAATAAAGAAAGTAGACAAATACTCTAATTTATTCAATGAATATCAATGCCATTTTGAAATGGGCTTTTTTTTATTTATAAAAATTAAAATGGTCTTGGCCCAAACCAAACTATGATATGGGCTTACTACAAAAGTTAGAAAAATTAAGATAGTATGATGTAAAAAAAACAATTTAAGGATGATATTAGGCAATGATCTCAATAGTAATTTTTGTATAAATCAATTAAGTCAACACAATTTCTTAATTGAAGGGGTAAATTGTATAACATATTTATTTTAAATTATAAATAAACAAAATATTTTTATATTTTATTTATTGAATGGAATTTTTATTTATTATATTAAAATATACACAAAATAAATTTTTTATTCAAATCTTACACTTAATTATATAAATAACGGGTTGAAATGCCTTAATTTAATAAAATAAGTAAATGAAAAGGTTGACCAATATTTTATTTCAAAGTCTGTGAATATTAAGTCATGATTCGTCTTCATTTTACAAAATATAGAACGAATTATGGACTCAGTTACTTATTTAATTAAAAATACTATTTTAGACATTTTACATCATTATTTGCCTAACACATGTATTTATAAAAAATGTCAATTAATAAAAATGATATTTAATACATACTTTATTATGAATAAAAGAATTTCGCATAATAAATAGAATACGAAATATTTTTATGTATGTATAATAAAATACGTGTGAATTTTATACAATTCAGCATAATTTAATATTTTATAATCAAATACTAACAAAAATTCTCTTTAATAATCAATTTCAGATCAGCCTTATATATAAGATTTGGTATTTCTAATTTTGATCTGAAATTGACCCGGGTCCGGATGTTTATATATATATACAGTACTATCTCCGTTCAGTTTTAAAGATCTTATTTACTTTTACGTATTGATATTTGAATATTAATTATTATATCAAAACGTAGTACAAATTAAGAAAAAATTGTAAAAATACTTCAATTAGTGTCTTATAATACTAATATAATGAGATTTGTAAAAAAAAATTATACAAATATAAGGATATTTTTAATGTTAATTATAATGACGTAAAATGTAAATATGACCTTTAGCGGCTTACGCATAGAGTATTATTTATAAATATATTGATCTAATTATTTAATATATATAATTATTTTGAAAAAATATAAAAATATAAAATATAGATAAATTATATGAGACTAAGGAAATATAATTCTGTAGTATCTATAATTTTGCATCTTAAATACGAGTATCTTTGTACAATATTTCTTTTTATTTTATATAGCATCTTGCTTTTTTATGAAAAATATAATTTGTTTTTTAATTTATTATTTAATATTGCTGGAAACATCTATTAATCAAGTACTAGAAAATCTTTTAGGACATCATAATTTTACGGAAAAATTGCAATAAATATTATGTATCTATGACAAATTATCACTGTTATTTTTTATTTGTTATTATCGTAAAACATATTTCAAATGTCATTTTTTCACGAATTTCGTTCTCTGGCCATACGTCAAGTTCACGATAGACATAATCTCACACGCGCAAAGAGAAATTGTACTGTGAAGGATGAAAATTGCAAAATTTGACCAAATTAGACGAAATTTGCATGGTTCATCCAAAACGATCAAACGAACCAACCATCAATTTTTATTTTTAATTTGAAGTCATTTTGGTCCTAAAAACCTTACATGCTTAAAAATATAAAAATTAATTTCTTAGACAAGGAATTGAACAAAATTTGCAAGGTTAATTCGAAACGAGTATACGAACCAACCAGTGAAATTTTTTGTTAATCCAAGATTATTTAAGGCCTAAAAAAGTCAAAATGCTAAAAACATAAACTAATTTCTAGACTTGTAATTGGATAATTATCATTTTTGTCTTTAATTGTCACCCTGACAGAATATATCATACATGTATTACTTTTTTGTAAAAATTGTCCTCTAGTCGTGCATCAAACTCATGAAAATGTCGGTGCGAGTGAAATTGTACTACAGAGGACAAAAATCGCAAAAAGTGATACATGTATGATATATTTTGTCAGAATGACAATTAAAAGACAATAGTGATAATTTTCATAGATACGAAATATTTATTGCAATTTTCTCCTAATTTTACTTTTTAACTAAAGCAAAGTTTAAAAGATGATATATGTGTTATTGTTTCTTCTTTTTTTTTTTCCGTAATAAAGTTATTATAAACATATTCAATTAAGTCTACTAGAAATCTTGCTAATTTGTACGTTTTGAATTATTCAAGTATCTTCACATAATCACATAGATAAAATTTAGATTTGTTATCTTTAATTTAGTATATTTGATATCTATGTACAATATTGTATTTTTATGTTCCAAACAAAAAATCAATCTTCGATAAACAACATAATTTTTCGTTAAAGGTTTGAATCCCATATAAATATGGATCTTTATATTCACGTCTAAGAAATACGCAGATCCTCAGCAAGTCGCAGGTCGCAAGCGCGGGTCAAGAGCACGGGTTTTCATGGACCGCAATAATGAGTATGTTTATGCCTTATTAATATGGTGGATCTAATGGATTAAAAATCCAACAATATGTGACAAATTTTGCGCCACCTTGAAGCCAAAGCATTCGTTATAGCATGATTATGATCTGTAAGAATAGTAATAGGTTTTCTTCCATGGTACCTACGAATGTGTCAAACAACTATTCAAATGAATGGATTGTCTCATCATATAAAAGTGAAGCACGAAAAATAATCATTTGCCTATGATTATTAACACCAACAAATAAGGAAAAATGACGATTTTCTTTATTCTTTCTATATGTTGTATCAAAATTCACAATATCTCCAAATCCGCATAGTTTGCTTTCATTTTACCGTCTACTCAAGATATATTAGTTATCATGTCTTCTTGATCCACTTGAATGAAATATGAAGATTTGGATTTTTACTTTGCATCCTCTATAAATACTCGAGCAATCCACCCGTATCTCCAATTTCAATATCTTTTGTTCGATTTGAACGCAAATGATTCTTATAATCTTGCATTATAAATCTTAAGTTGTCTTGGCCGCCGATTTCTTTAACCATTAAATTACGCTAGACTTTTTGTGTGAGTCTCGTACATTCTGGCATCTCAATTTGTACAACATGAGCATTATTTATCCTTCTATGCGATCTATAAAAATGTATTTTCTATGGACTGGTAAGATAATACGTATGTTTAGAAATGAACTCAACTACTTGATATTTTGCGTTCTCTAAAAAAAAAATTCATTCGAGTCTTGCATTCAAATCTTGTTATCGGCAGCGCAGCGTTTCCCTTCAATACTACTGTAATTTATCTTACACTCTTTATCTTTATGTAGCTTATGCCTTTTTATTTTATACCTCACTTTTTTAGCATAAGCTAAATAATACTGATACGATTGTATCAAACTCCATTCTAGTTCATGAAATTTCTTCTGTTTCTATTCTATTTACACCAAGAATTTCAAACTCATTTTTTATATTTTCGAAGTCTAATTTACGAGATGGAAAAGATTTATTCATCTCTTAAATTTCATATATTGTAATATGTATATTACATTAATAGACATATTGATAAAATATGAGAGTGAATCAAAATGAAATAAGAATTGACTACAGATGAAATAACTAATAATAATCCCAAATAAAATCATAAATCTCTAGGTAAAACAAGTAGAAGAATATGTATATTATTATGTAAACATTCTGCATTTTTAGATAGATTAAAAGACAATTAATGCAGCATATACGGTAAATTTCACTATCTAAATCACTAGTCATCTACCATATTTAAACATCAAAACTTTTGAAATATAAATCATAATTAAGCAAAACCTACTAAAGTAAATGGATATATATATATAACAATACTATAACAATTAATAGAGTTAAAATTACCACAATGAGCAACAAAATTAATATTTAAACTCCAAATCAACAAAATTTGAGTCAAACTGAAATTTTTTCCAAAAAAAAAAAAGAAATAACAATTGTGTACTTAGAAAAAATAAATAAAATAGATGCTAGCTGTTATGAAAAATATATGAAAGGATCTAAAATTTTGTTAACGAAATCGAGAAAAATATTGAATTAATTTTGGTTTTGAAAGGCTCAGCTCTAAACCAACCCGTAAACACTAAATCCACACAAAATACAACCAAACTCGCGACAAACACACAAAACCAACCCTAAACTACGACACAAACCAACTATCACCCCTCCCCCCAAGAAAAACAAGGCACAAATAACACAAAGAAGTGCCTTCAACATTGTAAAGAGCCCTTTGCAGCTCTGAATAATAATACAGATGATGAAAAACGTGCTAAGGAACTCCACAGAATGGAGGAAAGCACCGCCGAGGACCGCCGGAGGAGTAATCGTCGGAAGAGTAGGTTAGAGAGGGAGAGGAAAGACAGGCTAGAGAGGGAAAGCGTTGTATAGAGAGATTATGATATTATGTCTTGCTTTCTCTCTCTACATATATATATAGGTAGGTCAAATATGGATGAACAACTCAGATCACAACCCTAGATCGGACGGCTAGAGCTCCTCTCAAATAGACGCGGATCCAAAACAAACGGGCCGGGTTGAAAATTCGCGTGCACGGGTCAAGGCCGCGGGTCAAGGGCTGGTGTAGACTTGGGCCAAAGTGATGTGTGGGCTGCTAGTTTGGATGTATTGTGTTAAATGGGGTGGACTTAATTTGGACAAAAAAATCAAACACTAACAATATTGTTGCAACAAGGTTGGTCTGGCCGGCGGCGGAATTGGTCTGACCAACTACAAATAGTATGTATATTTGACATTTTTTTAATGACAAAATAAACTGCGGTGTCACATAAAATTGCAGATCTGATTAAAAGAAAATCAACATAAAAAATTTCATCACAATTTCACACTTATAGGAAACATTCAACACTGTTTTTTCACAAAGGATTAAGTGGGTGCTTTAATTGTTGTATAAAACAATGCTGTTAATTCTTTGTTTAAAATCAAAAGGCGATTTACCCTAATTTTGCAAATAATGATAAACATTTTTATCATTAATTTTGTAATTATAATTATTTTTTACAATATTAAAGGTTTATTTAGTTTTGATTTGAAATTGAAGTAGTAATTTGTATTTTGTAAAAAAAAAGAATAATATATTGTTATTATAACTACACCATATGAATAGTAAAATAATTTCTTTGAAATTAAAAATAAACACAGTAAAATACAGAGTCTTGAACAATTATATAAAATATAATTATAAATATAACTTTACAAAAATAAATTATTTTTAAATACTAAAAAAAACAAAAGTTACAAAAGGTTAAATAAATTGGAACAAAAAGAACAAATTTACCAACAAATTAAGGGCGTGTGTTTTAAAATTTGAATAGTAAAATTTTGAATTTAAATAATTTTTTTAGTATGATATAAATAAGAATTGATGTGATATTTTATTAAAAAAATTAATTTTGAATATAATATAAATATATATATATTTAATTTATTGTTTTTGGGGGATTTTTTTTAGTGAATAGTACACATCAGATGAATTCTTTCAAACAGTAAATTAACATTTTGTAATGAAAAATCAAATCAAATAAAAAATAAAAAAATAGTTTATAATAATATATTCTAAAATAGTTTAAATTAAAAATGTACTCTCTCCGATCCCAAACAAGGTGTTACATTTAAATTGGACACAAAATTTTGGGTGAGAAGTATTAAGTAGGATAATTGAGTAATTAGCTGATGTATCGGAAAGAAAAGTATATATTTTATTTTTTTATTAGAGTGATGTGATGGAATAAAGTGTGGGAATATATATTAAGGGTGTGTTTGTTTGAGGGTTTGGATTTTGGGTTGGGATTTGAATAGTAAAAATTTTGAATTTGAATAGTTGTATGATGTGATATAAATAAGAATTGATGTGATGTTTTGAATGTAAAATTGATTTTTAGTATAATATAAAAAATGAAAAATAAATGTTTGATTTGATATTTTTGGAGGGAAAATTTTGTGGGAATAGTAGAAATCCCACAAAATCCCCCAAACAAACACACCATTAATTATTTTCTAATTTATAAATGTTGCAGGGTGTTTGGGACATACCAAAAAAAAATATATTGCAAAGTGTTTAGGACAGAGGGAGTATTAGACAAATCATGCCAGGCCAAGTACGATCTATATTTTCAACCATTCCGGCCCAAATACTTATTTTCCATATTGTTCTCAAATTGAATTTTCGGACTGTACTTATTTTTGCTCGGGCGCCATAATACTATAGCCTGTGTCCCCGGGCAACACGGAACATTTCGAAAATATGGCCCTAAGAGCAGGTTACAGACAGAACTATGAAAGAGTTTCTTACCAAACTAGATAAACAGCAGCAAAATGAATATTATAGCATACCCACTTTCTAGGTTCATAGCACATTTATCCACTTCCAACTATCATAAGATCCAAATCCAACTAATCAAAGATGTAGCTAGTCTTGTATAACAAACACAAAAGTAGCCTATAACCAATTAATCTCACCATACAAGTTACAGGGTAAAAGAAGGGACCTGTTTCTGTCTCATCGTCTTGCGAAAAAAATGTGCTACTGATGCTCAGATGGTACCATTTCCTTGATTTTTTCAAGCCTCTTCAAGATTTCCAAAAACGACGGCCTTTTCTCTGGCTGGGCCGACCAGCATTGCTCGATTAACCTACACTTCGACAAATGCCTTGTTTTTAAGGATATGTCACAATAACCGGCACTACAAAAACTATCTAATTAGCTACAATTTTTTAAACTACAAAATATTTAGTTAAAACGTGTCATTTAGCAACAAAAGTTAATTTCTATTGCTAAAAATAAATTATGTACTACAAATTAATTTCGTCACTAAGATTTTTTGCTAGAAAATTCTATTTTCATAGCTAAAATCATTTGACTAAAAAAGTCATACTCATTCTCTTACTAAAACTCTTTTGTTATAAATTTTAATTTTATAGCAAAAGAGCTTTAGTTACGAAATTATATTTTCATAGCTATATTTCTTTTCTATAACTTTCATAGCAAAAAACTTATTTTTTTGTTATGAAAGTCATATTTGTCGCCAGAGACCTTTACTAACGCGGCATAGGCAACAAAAATGAGTTTTGTCGCAAAAATATTTTTTCTATGAATTTATTACCTTTTGCTACGAAATTTTTTTGTAGCTAAATTTCAACTTATTTGTAGTGAGGTAAATGTTGTTTCGATCGGTTGATATGATACGAAAAACATCAAACAGTCCAAAAATACTCACTCTTTCAACTCAGGGATACAGCTTTTTGCGCGGAATCTTGGCCTGTGTCCCTCTGCTGCATAAGTGGCTGCTTCGTATGCATCATAATGCTGCAATGGAGGGTCACCTTCAAGCATCTGCAATGCTAATAGTATATTTAACTAATGCTTTGAAAATTGGTTTTGTGATTTGTAGTCACTGGGAAATTCAAATTTACCTCATATAGTATCATAGCGAAAGAAAATACATCAACCTTCTTATCGTATTTCCGGTGCCTAAAGACTTCAGGTGCCATGTAACGATCTATTGAAGCAAGATAAAAAGATGGCATCATTAATGATTAATTTAAATGTAATCTGCAGAGAGGTTTCTTAGAATAGCTACTCACAGCTTCCGGTTTCGCCGGTCATTTTATACACATCATGAGAATGCTGTACTCTGATTAGCTTGCTTAATCCGAAGTCTCCTACTTTTAAATGGTCGGCATTTGCATTGACAAGAAGAACATTCCTGCACGAATAAAGAATATAGAAAATGGTTTCGTCACACTGAGAGGGAACAATTAGTTCCTACAAGGACAGATAGCAAAATTGCAACAGACTGGAAACCAATTTAAGATCTACTTTACCGAACATTCCAGAAAACTACCTCGGTTTCAGATCCCTGTGTATTATGACATTTGGCTCCGTGTGAAGATACGCCATGCCTCTGTTCAAACAAGAATACAACAATCAGAACGATGGAGAGTAATATCAAGGTCCACTACTTTTTCGAGGAAAATATTACTTTGATTTACCTGGCAATATCCATTGCAAACTTTATTGCAGTTAATGGATTCAGTGCTCCTTTGCCCTTTAAATGTTGATGTAAATCACCCTACAGGAGAAGACAATTCAGAGACTGCACATAAGATCATTTTTAAGCTAAAATGCCGACATACATGCACACACTGTGTAGAAAATCCCTCACCCCTCTCAAGTACTCCGTGATCAACATCAAGGGTTTTTTTTCGGTAACAGCTCCTAGAAATTGAACAATGTTTGGATGCCGAAGCTTCACTAGCAAATTAACCTCGTGCCTGAAGTCCTGACTGAATACAAGCAACAAATTATATCAATTTACCTAACACCAAAAATAAAAATTAATAAATAGATACTAAGGACCAAATGGAAGTTAGAAATTGTGTACACAGTAAAGAAACATACACCACTAATTTATCATCTGAAAGGCTTTTTAGAATCCGTTTCACAGCTACAGGCGTTCCCCTCCATGAAGCTTTCACTATCTCACCAAATGACCCCTGACAATATCAAACTTATCAGAAAATTTACAAACTTTAAATGTAGCATACATGTTAAGAGCAGATGAAGTTCGTGATCTTCTTAGAAAGGGTCTCACCTTTCCTACAAGAGTTGAGCTTGAGAAGTCCAGCTCAGCAGGGTCTATCTCCCAGTCACATTTACTTGGAAGAGGTGGTGGTAGAGATCTGGGTTCAAAATGATTCCCATTCTGACCCTGCAAAATGCAATAGTTGTTTATCCAGAAGGAAAATATAGATGTAAAATACTCCGGAAAGATAAGCAATGCTGACACTTAACTAAGATTTCACAAACTTGACCATTTCATTAATCTCTTTACATATTTATTTATTTACTATATATATATATATATACTATTATTTTATTTTTATTGGACAAACTCCTAAAGAGAAGAATAGCATACCACTGATTGTTTTACCAGAAAACCTTTCTTGAGGATTTAATCAATGTTTTGATAAGTGCAGATGTTACATCAAAGGGCTAAGATCTCAAAGTCAATAGAAATGTGTAATGACACATAATTAGAAATAATTACCACAATAAGGGTTATTAATATCAACACCAACAATCCATTTAGGCTATGTTTACTATCAATAATCCTAGCCTATCTCAAGCATAATAGACACATGCTTAGTAATTACAAAGAAACAAAAGGTACTGTCTGAAAATGAGAGAAATATGATAACGCTCTTCAGTGCGTAGTAGTCCATGTTCATATGAAAAAGAATACAATACAACTAGGAGTATGGAACTTACATAAGATAATCCGCCATAGGATTTTATCAATTCAACCAGGCTAGGTCTCTCTGCTCCTTCTGCATCTGCTAAAGGCTGTTTTACACATTGGAACATAATGTCTCAAATGGGACTACTAGATGATAAATTATTGTCCATTACATATCAACAACTATTCCAGGTAGGCAGCCTGCATACATGTAGCTGAGATCCCATAAAGTTAAGACAAAAAACACAAACATTAAATACTGTAGTAGTCCTGTTTGATCTTCCAGTTAAACCAGTGCCCGTCATCTAATTTAACTTGGTCAGTTATTAAGATTTTCAGCAAGACATTAAAAAACCGGTGAAATCAATCATGGCTCCCAATGAACTAAGCCTTAATAAGGGCATCTTCAAATCCAGAATCTAGCTGACATCCATGAAATGATGATGTCAGATATCTCATATGATATTTAATGAATTAGGTATCTGCTCCTCCAAATACAAACAAAAAATTAAAATTAAAAATTTGATTTGCTTAAATATTGTATGAATTAGGGGAACTGTCACAGGAATATTTTTAGAAGGGTAAAATCAACGTGAAAGAAACATTTTATTGAAAAACTTCTTGTGAATGATATGAATAATAAAGAAGAAGTTCCTTCCTCGTCAATCATGGATGCTCTTGATTCGTGTATCAGTAAAGGTGCACTGTCCAAAAAGAATATCCGAGTTGTATTTTTCTCAAAAAAGAGCAAATTTCAGATCGAGAATCATCCATAATACTCAGTTAAATCTTGAAACAAATTCTGCAATCCTAATCGCATGATTTGCCAAATCCTAGCAGAAGATCAGGACTCACAGAATCAACTAGCACAGTAATCTTATCTCAAAAACTACTCAAACAAATAATGATTAAAAACCAGAAATGATTATATATGCGCGATCATACATTTAAATTGAGTCTATTCCGATTGAAACTTACCGTATTTTTCCAGCGATCTTGGGCATTGACATCCACTTGGTATTCTAGAAGACACTTAGCAACGTCGATCCAGCCGTGGATTGCCGCGACGTGGAGTGGGGTCCGATTATCATAGTCTCTAGCATTCACCAGCGACGGATCTTCCTCGAGGAGCTTCCTCACCGACGCGACGTCGTTCTGGTGCGCGTGCCACAGAATTAGAGACGACTTGCTCACCCGCGCCTTGTCTCTTTTCTTCTCTTTGTCAACCGGCGGCGGCTGCGGCTCTCCGGCGGTGGAATCGCCGCCCTCGCCTCCACTCATTGGATGTGATTTGGAGCAGTATGAGAGAGACTGAGAGTGAACTCACCGCCGAAATTTGCGACGCAGCTTTATCTGCTAATGACTTCAAGACTTACCTTTAATCGCATCTTAAGCATCATTTGACTAATTAATTAATTCAAAATGATAATATTCCATGAGAAATATGATTGCATTCGTATGTGTCTTTTTCAATGTGCTTTCCTTTTTATTTATCCATAAAAAATATATATATATATATATATGCACTTTTTTAATTTATAGGAAATGAGATTTATTAATATTTATATTTATTTTTGAAAATGTTATAACTATTTATATATTTAATCTATAAAACATTTTATTTGAATTTATTAACTCATATATAATTTTTCTAAATATATCTGTTTAGATCATACATTGGATTAAAATTCAAGCGACTCCACCACTTTCGACCTCAGTTCTTCTATTAAATCACCTTGTGACCTTTTATCATATTGATTATATATTGCGTTGATAGCACAATAATATATACCAAACAATACATTGGATATAAATATATATGTTGATATGCCTTCAATGCCCTCAATGAAATCTGTTATTTGTTTATGTCTGTGAGATAGCCAACACGTGTTTTTTTGTGAATCATGTAAATATGTGTCTTTTTACGTATTTTATTTGTTATTCGATTATTAACTCTAATCTGTCAAAACAATATAACACATATAATATTTTCATGTGTTGACGGGGATAATCAACATTATTCAGATAATTTCCCATCAGGACCCTAATCAAAATGAATCTTTCTTGTATCTCCCTCTATGAGAAAGTCAATTCATCTTGCTCCTTCAATGTCCATCTCCAGTAGAATGGTAAAGGAGCCGGACCGAGTTGAATTTTACATGTTTGAGCTCGACTTGTTATAGATCGAACTCGGCTCATGCTCGTTCATTAAGAGATACAAGTTGAAATTTTTTATTGAGTTCGATTCGTTTAGCAATTTTTTTGTTCATATTCTGCTCGACTCAGCTCTTGAAAAGAGTCTTTTGTTTTATTTAAATTTAAACACAATTAATAATAATTATAACTTTATTAATAACTCTATATTAAAAAATAGAATTAAATATAATATTTATAAATATATATACTTATTAAATATAAAAATATTAATTTAATATTTTTTAAAAATACTGACCAATATTCACAAACACGTTCAAATTTGTTCTGTAAACATAACAAGTCAAAATTTATATTCGTATTTGGCTGATTTAGTTTAGCCAAAGAACTTCTAACGAGTTTACATCAAACCTCATCAATAAAATCTACTTAATCCTCAAAACATTAGGTTAAACAATGAAGCCGTCTAATTCCTCCTTTAGCCATTATCTCTTAAGCTTCTTTAGTCTTATTTTGAGTTTTTTCTTTATTTTTCCACTACCTTTCACGGCAAAAAATTCACCTTGTTGGATATAATAATAAAATAATAATAATAATATTCCCTTCCTCTCGCATAAATTGTTCGTTTCTTTTTATTTTTGTCCGTTTCACATAATTTGTTATTTTTTAAAAATATAATTATACATTTTACTCGTATTTTAAGTTTTACTTCCTCCGTCCCACATAATTTATCTTTTCTTTTTTTAAAATATAATTATACACTTTAATCACATTTTAAAATTCATAATTTATAATTCTTTTATTTTAATATGTATTTAGTCAATCTTATAATCTTAATATACCTAAAACTCCATGTTACAGCTAAGGTGGACAAATTAACTTGGACAGGGAGTATAATTTATAATTTATATTATAGAATAATTATTTTTACTAATATATTTTTTTAATTATTTACTAATTATACTTTTACCAGAATTTTTATATTTAGAATAAGGTGGACATTTTAACCCTTGATGATGGATCCTTTTTTATTTTTTGTCCTGCCAATGAAAAGGTAGCTATAATGGGTGAATTGTGTTTTGTAGAATCCAGATATCAATCAAGATGAAGGCTGGTGGTTGTGTGTGTATGTGTGACTATTTGTTCTATGTAACCAAGGGAGAATATGTATGTGTAATAATAGAACCACCTATACATATTGTCATTTATATCCAATTTGTGTTGTAATGTTCTTGTAAAGAATATAAATGTTTACCAGATTTTGCTATATAGCATTCAATCTTGACAGGTTTTCAGGCACTCCCAAATCTTCAAGCCAAGTCCTCTTGGTCTTCGAGGGATCGCTTTCGTGCTGCAAGATTAAGTTTGAGGCTTTCCGGTAAAGGAGGTGTCCTGCCCCTGCGGAACAAAACAGCCAGAGCCCGGTTCCTCCGGCACAAATCGAAGACCTAAAGAGATGGATATAAATATTTGTAAATATTGGTACCAGTGAAGTGCTTAATTAGAAGGCGAAATTGTCAATAACTCCCCTGTACTTTAAAAAAAATTGCATAGCACTCCTTGTATTTTGAAAAAAGGTAGATGAAAGATTTCTCATCTATATTTTGTGCATAGTGAGAGGTTTCATGCAACATTTTTTGAAGTATAAGGAGAGGGATTTACACTGAATTTCGAAACTATGGAGAGTTATGAACAATTTTGGCTAATTAGAATGTAGATCAAATTGACATGAAACTTTGTTGCTTACTGATGAGGCATCTATCTCTGCAACACCTTCGCAATCTTGTCCTCCTCCTTGAAGCAGATCGCAGTACTTTGCAGCATCATTTTGGTCTTCGAATACCTTCAAGAAATCGACATTTTTAGAGACATGTGCATTGTTCTACAAAACTTGGAAGCAAATCTGCTGTTGAACTTACTAGGACACCCTCTCGGACATCCTCAACGAGCATCTGGAATTTGTTGCTGGGGCCTGATTGCTTCGACTGGTTTCTCCACTTCCCTCCTTTGGAAAACAGAATCCCGAGCTCCCTTTCAACTTCACTGCATTGGCAACAAGTTTGAAATGGTAATGGCAGCAAGAATTTGAATTACGTACTCACGCACACAGGCATATGCAAGCTTAAATCACCTGCGGTTTCTACGAGTTTTCATAGTACATAGCTGGTTCTCTTGGTGAGTCAGGACATACACAGATTTTGAAGACTCTCGCCAAGGGTTGGCATCCAATACTGCATCCATAACATTGAAAGGGTAATGTGTTGTGCTATGTGATGCGATGATATTACAGCAAGCAAACAAACATAAATACGAGGGGACTTAAGTTTCTATAGGTTTTTTACTGTTCTTCGCTTTTTTCTTCCAACAATATCAAATTAAATACCAATTTTTTATTTTTAACACATAGTTATATCATATCAAACAAATAGCATTTCAATTCTAACTATTCACTATTCTCAAGCTCAAACCCAAATCCCAAACACACCCTGTCAACAATTCTACATATTCAAAACCAGCTTAAACTTTTGGATTAAAGTTGCTTTTCGGTACTTTGAAGATGGAGAAGCTTTTTCCACAACAGGCAGAATATATACAACAGTGCTTTGTTCATAGATGAAGCTAACGTGCAGCAAATTGGTTATACTACTACTGAACACCATAAAAAAGGTAAACAGATTTGATAGGATTAAACGTTCCAACCGAGCTAATTTTTCTAAATACAACGCTAATTTCCATCAAACACAATCTTCAATCATAGTTCTACCAAGATGCTGATAAGAATAAGATTCACCCAACAGAACGGTCATATAGTGGCTAATAAGAATAAGATTGGGAGCCGAACGTAATTTAAACAATAATTACGGCACCAATTAAGCACATACAAATTAGTATCATGATCTAGCACAGCATTAGAAACACTAGTACCGAACGAACAGTTTAATGAAATCAATCCTCACCGTCGTAGCTACTGCTATCAAAGCTCTGCTGCAGATGCCTGCGCATATCATAAGCGCGCGAGGAAACCTGTCTCACCAACGCATCGGGAGTTCCTGGAATCGTACCATCCATCCGCATCGCTCTATCCAATTCCTCATCTCTCCGATCATTTTCCGCGTCGCGCTCATCATCTCCGCTCAGTTTACAATAAACTCTCGCGTTCCGTTTCCCTCTGCGAAATTCAGCCGAAATACGCAACTGATTGATAGATGCTCTGCTGCATGTAAAAGGCACACCCACCAGGCGCCGGTCGTGGCGGTGGTTGTGATGGCGGAGGGGGAGCACAATAGGTGGCGACACCGACGATACAGAATCCATAATTCAGGGAGAGATCGAATTCTCAACTCCTTCTTACCGTAGCTGCGCAATGCCTAAATCTGCAATTTTCGAAATTTGCAGGAAGAATAGAGAGCTAAAGTGAATTCGCGTGTTGGTTTTGGGGCAATCAAAAGAAACGAATGTATAAATGACGAATGCTTCGAGAGATTTTTTTCTTTGGGCTGCATTCGGGTCGGGTTAGATGCGTAGGACTATTGCGCACGACTCCTTAGTCAAAAACTGATACCCGAACCTCGACCCTGACCCACATTTTCCACGTGTCCTTTATTATTAGGGTGTGTTTGTTTGAGAGTTTGGATTTTGGGTTGGGATTTGAATAGTAAAAATTTTGAATTTGAATAGTTGTATGATGTGATATAAATAAGAATTGATGTGATGTTTTGAATGTAAAATTGATTTTTAGTATAATATAAAAAATGAAAAATAAATGTTTGATTTGATATTTTTGGAGGGAAAATTTTGTGGGAATAGTAGAAATCCCACAAAATCCCCCAAACAAACACACCCTTAGTGTGTGTTTTAGCACCGAGCGTTGAAGGGTGTGTTTGTTTGGGGATTTGAATTTTGAGTTGAGATTTGAATAGTAAAAATTTTGAATTTGAATAGTTGTACGATGTGATATAAATAGGTATTGATGTGATGTTTTGAATGTAAAATTAATTTTTAGTATAATATAAAAAATAAAAAATAGGTGTTTGATTTGATATTTTTGGGGAAAAATTTTGAATAAATTAGTAAAATTTTGGTAAAATCCTTCAAACTAACAAACCAGAAGTGTTTCTTTATGGAGTTTTTTTTTCTTTGTCTGTCTTTGTCCATTCATATTTTTTTATCTGTTTAATTTGTATAAAGATAAAGAATTTAATATTTAAATATTATCAAAAGTGCGCGTTAGGAAAACTCCTAAATACAGCAAGACAAATCACATTAAGCGAAAATTTTAGGACATCACGGTGACAAGTTCACTCCTTACACCAAGGGACTGTCTGGACTTCTAATGTCATTAATTGTAATATTGTATAAAATGTATGAATATTTTTAATTAAAGTAAAAATTAATTTTTCTAAAGAAATAACAAATACATTTGAGTTTTTTTTATATATATAAAATATAAAAAAAATTATAATATTAATATAAAATATAAATATTACCTCCGTCCACCACAAATCTATCAGTTTATCCGTTTACTTTTTGCATATTAATATTTGAATATTAATTATTATATCAAAACGTAGTATAAATTAAGGGAAAATTACAAAAATATTTTTATTGGTGTCTTGTAATACTAATGTAATAACATTTATATAAAAAAAATTATACAAATATAAAGATATTTTTAATACTCCTTTCGTCCCATGAAGAAGTGTCAATTTGCTTTTTGCACGTAGTTTTAGAAATATTAGTATTATATTGGGATATAGTAGGAATAAAGTAGAAATAATTAAAATAACCTTATTAATATGTGTGATATAAATGTAATGACATTTGTGTAATATATTGTAAGTGGCAAGGGTATTTGTAATGTTAGGTAGATAGTACAATTACTAAAAAAAGAAATGAATACTTTGTTATGGGACGTACTAAAATAGAAAAATAAATATTTTGTTATGAGACGAAAAAAGTATTAAAAATAATGACGTCAAATACAAATGGATAGATTGGTGATGGATGCAGGTAGTATTAATTTTTCGTGAGAGATAGATATAATATATATACTATATATGATATATATTCCAAATTATATTGAATAAAAAATGATTGGACAAATAAAAATATATATTACAATTTTTATTTTTTTTAAGTTTTGTTTTAATAATGTATGAACAATTCTTGAGAAACAATGGAGTACTATGAGTTTGTTTGCTTGAGTTTGGAATTGAATTTTTTATTTGATTTTTATTTAAATAGTTTAATAAAATCAATTTTGAAAAATTCGTAGGAAAGTGTTTTGGTGTAATTTATAATTTTTAAGGGAGAAAAATATGCTTTCTAAGATAAATATTTACATTTTTTAAATTTATTTTTAATATTTTTTTTCAAAGCAATCAATATTTCTATAATATGTTTTAAATACTTATTTTCTTATCTTAATTAAACTTTATTGGGTTGAGACAAATACTCTTTATAAATATTATGCATTTTGTTTTAAAGTTATTATTTTTTTTATAAATATATTATTATTATTATTATTATATCCAATCAAACAATTTATTGTCAAGCAATAATTTTAAGATTGGACATTACACAAATTTTCATTTTAAATATATTCATGTCCACTAAATTACTATATTCTCCTATTGTAACCTAAACACCAATGGATTAATTAAACTTTGTAAGCTTAAATCGGCAATAAATGCAAATAAATTACATGGGTCGAATCAAATTAAAAAAAATATATATATACTAATACAACAACAATCCAAATAAAGTTTTACTGTGGTTTATACTTTCTAAAGGAAAAATATAAAGTGTTTCTTAAGACAAAGATTTATATTTTTTTTCAATTTATTTTTAATACTTTTGTACAGAGCAATCAATATTTCAAACTACAACGTATTTGAAATAGTTATTGTTTGTCTTAAACAAATTTTATTCGGCCGAGATTAATACTTTTTATAAATATTTTGCATTTCCTCTTTAGGGTTGCTAGCTTTTATTTTCTAAAAAAATTATTATTATTATTATTATTATTATTATTATTGTATTGATTTAAAACGATTTATTGTTGAACCATGATTTTATAATTGAGCATTACATAATTTATCACATCAAACACTAAATTACTTTCTTTTAACCCAACATTCTCCATCTTTTTTGATCTTATGCTATTGCCATAATAATAAAAACACAGCAAATAAATAATTAGTTAAGTACAACTAACAATTTAGAAAAACAATTATGAAGATAACTTAGAAAATATAACATATAATTCCAGCACTATAATGCTACCCGAAAGTGCGCACTTCAGGTGACCTGATATCTGACGGTCACAAATCCAACTTCTACACCATCGGTCATCTCTTGCAGGACTTATCACAAAAAAATTTGAATATATGAAACATATATTCACTTTTAAATACACTTATTTCTTATTTCTTTTTATTTTTATTTTGATGTGAGATAAATATATTGAATATTGTATAATAATAAGTCTTATTCTTATTGTTAAAAAAATATAACTCTCTTAATATATTAACAAATTACAAAATACAATATTTTTCAATATTTAATTGTCTACTACACAAACAAAGAATAATACTAACATTTTAGTTAAGAAATCAAATGCTATGAAAATTTTTAAATCTAAAACATATTTTTATAATTGAAAGAAATTTTCGTCACCTATGGTTGTCTTAATTTTTTATTTTATTTTATTTTATTTTTATGATACAGAAATCTGTATCTGTTATTAAAAATGTACACTGGATAAACTTCCTACCGAACTTAATACCTACGTATAGTCTTTTTAATTTTTTTCATCTTCAATGGCTTTTTACATTTTGAAGGTTGATATTACTATATGTTGTTTTCATTTTGTTTAAGTAAAAAATAAAATAAAATAGTGGTTTACGTATAAAATCAAAATAAAAATTAAAAACAATAATAATAAATAAAAGTATTTTGTAATATATATATTTTTTAATAATTTAGAAATTCGTAGCCGCTGTGGACGGAGAGTCGCAATAATATTTTTTCAAAAAATAGAGTAAAAAAAAGGTAGATAGATATATATAGAGGGCTTAAATAAGAATTTGTATTAAAATTTTAATTTGAAATTACATTTTTTTCACCTTCCTTTTCGCTTAAAAAAAAAAAAAAAAATTAAAATAAAAGAAAAAGAAACTGAAGGAAAGGAGTATTAGAAAAAAACCTTTCATTGCAATTTTAAATGAATCAATTTCAGCCTGCCCGTCTTTTCGTTTTCTTCCGCCTCAATTGCCGCTCTCCTCTCGCAGGTCGTCGCCGTCTTCCCTACGGTTGCCCGCCACCCAATCTCAGCCCTCTTTCTGCCTATCGTACACTACAGCAGAGCCTCCATTCCGTTCCTCCATAATCTGGTTTGTGTTTCCCTCGTTTTTGCTGTATTGCTGTTCGATTGCTGCTTGTTGTTCGGCCTTGAATTAGATATCTACATGTTGTTCTGCCTTGAATTAGACATCTATGACTGATTGGATTTAAAGGTTTTAGATTTCCCCGAGCAATTTCTGGCAATCGTGTTATTGTGGGTAGATTCTATTCTGAAGTGGCCAACAACTTTGTGAGGAGAAACTAGAGCCTAAGTTTGATACTATTTTTCGAACATTGGAGTTTGGTGATTTTGTTGTCCCGAAAGTGTATGATGCTTTTGCTCATGATATCTGTATGTTAGAACTCTGTTCAGGCCAGGCAGATCACGGCATGATTAAGCTCAATGGCCTATAAACGTTAAGTGGCACTTTGATTGATTACCTGATTTCATGGTGTAGAGGGGCTGATATGGACATTGTGCGCCAGGAGAAAGTAAGGAAGTTTGAGGAGTTTGTTGATCGTCGCTTAAAACCTGATCTTGTACATGCTATTGCTCAACGGTGCTTCTTCCTGGTCTATCTATTGTATTTCATTTTTTTTTTTCTTCTAATTTTAATTTCTTGTTTTAGTGCTTATAGAATCCTTATAGTTTGTACATTTTTCAGTGACAAGGTCTTTGAACAACAGAAGATATTGTATCCTTTAGTTTTCTTCTGTTCATGAGTTCATTACATCTATTTTGGTGTGCGTAGCTTCAATTAATGCTTCAGACATTTGGTTGGATAGTAGGGAATGATATTGCCAAGGAATGATCCCTGATTTGTATGTTTAAGGATTAATGAAGCTTTTGGCATTGTTGATTGCTTTTTTTCTTTTTTTTTTTTTCTTAACCTCGTTTCATGTAGCTCTGATCTGAGAAGGAACATTGAGAACTTGGAGAAGAACAGTGTCACCAGTTTGAGAACATTGGTGAACCTTGGTTCTGAAGTTTACATGCAAGCAGATGTGTATGTTAATATCTCATTTTTTTGGGTCCAAGCTACCTGCCATGTGTATGCTGTATTTGCTGAATTACATCCTGGTTGATGTTTTGTTGTAAATGTTAATATGAAACAGATTATATGCGGCAATCCTCGTAACTATTGAAAAAACATAAACAAAAACATATGTATCCTTAGGTACCTTTCATGATACTCTACATTTGATCAAGTATAAATGTATTACCTCAGCATGAATACTTGATGCAATTTTGGGTGAAAGGAAGTGTATGACATAATTGAATTATGTTAATTTGATCAAATATCATTTTTCTAAACTTGGTAGAGCCTTTTGAATTTGGTCTTATTTTGAACACAATTTAATTTGATTGAAACACCATAATTGTACATTAATTGTTCCCCTTGGCATGATTGTTCCCGTTTGCTTTTTCAGACCGGACACCCGGCATATATTTGTTGATGTTGGACTTGGTTTCCACGTGGAGTTTACCTGGTCTGAGGCTTTAAAGTTCATAGCTACCAGGGAAGAAAAGTTATCCAGGTATGATCCTTCTAGACTTGGGGGCTGATGTGAAAAAATAAATATGCTATTCAAACTAAAGTGTGTTGCCAAGTCTTTATGTTGCTTGACTGAACTTGTTATCAACAGTGTCCTTGGGTTTTAACTTTAAAGTCTCAAACTGGACAGCTTGAATGCCTATGATCATGTGCTTGAATGGTGGATATCAATGTTTTGCCTACAATTTCTACATAATTCTAACCTTTTTACGTTTCCCTTGTTGAGCTTGGATAGCTACATAGACTTTATCATCATGTCTTTTCGTAATTCTTATAATCATTCCACAATGCTGCCTGTATGCATATGGGGGAACCCTATTCCTGCAATAGTGATGTGGGAAGATTAACAAAGAAATGCATTATGTTTTGAATCTATTGCTTCTGACATGTACATCATTGATTTATATATGCTGTTTAATCTTGAATTTCCAATTGCATCTGAAATTTTCTTTTGCATAACAATAATATCATGTTATTATATCCACACACTGTCTAAAGTGTGCTCTTATCTAATTGTTATATTTATTTTTGCAGGCAAATAGAAGATTACACTCGCTTAATTGCTTCTATTAAAGCTCAGATTAAGATGGTAATGTAGATTCTAAGCTATGCTACCTATTGATCTGTCCTCCAGTTTATGTGTGCACATCCAAAATAATTTATAAACAGCATTCAGGAGAAATATATAGCAATAAGCATAACAGCAAATGATCAGTATGCACTTTTTCAGTATTCTTGAGAATGTAGAAAATACTATGTGATAATGATTCTTTTGTTGGTGTTAATGCAGGTGTGTGAGGGAATAAGAGAGATTCTCCAGTTACCAGTGACTGACGTTTAACCAATATCATTGAACGCTGTTTGTATTTTTGGCAATTTCTTATTTTAGCATCGAACAAGATTTCATGGAGCTATAAATTTTGGTCCTTCAGCTGAAATGGAAGTAATTATGTTATTCGGATTATGTGAATATTTAAAGCATCATGGAAAATTATGTGATTTATGCAATTATGGTTTTGTCCTTGTGCATTTATTCTGATATTTTGCCCTAAATGGTCATACCATGTAGAGTTTAAGAATTCAACGAAAAGAGTAGATGGCCATTAAAATTATACAGTTTTGGAAACATTGAAACATTTTCTTTTGTAATTTGTGGTCCTAATGTCCATCAACCAGAAGAAAATATGTGCTTTTTAGTCCTTAAGTTATTTACTAGACACGTAGGAATAAGAGCAAGGGACACTTTCTTTGCGTTACACTTCAAAAAAATGTTGTTTTGCATTTCTCTACAACGAAAAAAAAATCATCTGTTGGCGAGATGCCATAAGACTATGCAATCCTAATCTTTTCAGAAGCAAAAAAGTGTCTCGAAAACATGTTTGGCAGCTGAGAAGACAGTTGTCTGAGAACTGAATCTGTCTCGTGCCTATTCCCTCCTAGTGGGCACAAAATTGATCGTAGAATGCTGCTGTAGATAACCACCTGTGTTCATTCTTCCATACGCTTGGATGTAGGTTCATACTGTTGAACAGTGTCGGAACCATGTATGAGGCTTCTCCAGTTAGCTGATCTGTGCAGGATTCTTCTAGTGCCGTGATCACTGTCTTCTCCACTGGATTCACCATAGTCATTGCTATTTGATCTTGACAATGAATTTCTCCTTTTTGATTTGGCTCCCGATGTTGAAGCATCATTCAAAGGGCAAATCTCAGGAGAACTTAAACTACTCTCAGGAGACGAATAGTTACTGCTCCTAACAGAGCATCGCATAGTGTGGCTTTTCCTGAATGTATGTGCAGGTTCAGTGATGGCATGGCCTGTGTTGCCTTCTACTGTTGCAATCCTATGTACAGGCTCGGATATGGGAAGGCTGTCATCGTTGGGCCTCAGGGAGATCCTGCGACTGCTGCTGTCTAAACTGGTGCTTTTTGTTTCAAGGGAAGATGCTGTTTCATGCTTTTTTTCTGTTGGGCGTAGAATCTTGGAGTTCTTTCTTGCCTCGGCAGCAGCCTTTGAGACATCCTCTGCATTCAGACGAGCCAATGCCCATGGACTGATCTTGATAGGTGCGGCATTCTTTTTCTTTGATGGCTCCTCCATTGCTGTTCTTTTCCCTAATGAACTAACAGATGCATTGTCTGGAGGAATTGCGTCAAACTGCAGGATAACCAGATAGAAATAACAATAAGTAATTCTGTGTTTGTTCGTGTCTGCGTGTGTGTGTGTGTATATATATATGTGTATATATAATCACCTGATCATCAAGAAACAGGCGAGGGGGCGTGCACCATGCTGCTCGTTGAAAATTGTTGAAGGAGCTCGCACTGCTTAGGCCCGTGATAGAGCTGAGTGTAGACATCTGGGGGCTATTCTGACCTTCAGCAGCTTCTTGCTCTTGCTCCCTCAGAGCTACAATATAATCGTACGTGCTGATTCCCTGTTATCGTTCAATTGTGGCTATTGTTAGCTAGAAGATATCGGTTTTCCTCTTGGCATATAACGAACTGTTTTTATGCATAATTTGTGCAAACCTTTCTGATCAGAATAACATGAAAGAAGAAGAGTTGAGCCAGTGGCAGCGTAGCAACCATGGCTAGGAAGGTACACACTGCCTGCAAGAAACGAAGCATAAATAATTCTTTCCATTTACAGATATGGCGTGGAAGATGCAGAAGACTTACAACGACAATGGCAAAAGGAACCACAGAGAAGCTGCTCCCTAACTTGGAGGCGATGTCCTCTTCAAATTGCTTCTTCTTGACAAAGCACTGGATCAGGACAAAGATTCCGGTCGACCATTGGAGTACAAGCTGTAATCTCAAGTCCAAAAAGCACAGACCAGGTCTAGTCCTGTCAGTGTCCGGCTTAATAAAAAAAAGATCCGAATGCAATACATTCTATTGAAATTCGATGCTTCAACTTACCATGAGAAGGGCGAATACCATAAGCGCGAAGAACGTCCGGTAATTCCTTTTCCCTATGCAATTATTTATCCACTGCAAATAAAGAGCTTATCATTTGATTAGCTGATCTTGTTCTAGTGTGGCAGCAGAAATTTAACTAATGGTAAAATCATGATGTACCCTGCAGTGATGATCGAAGCAGTCGACACACTTGTCGCAAACTCTACAATGCTTGCTGTATGTGAAAACCTCTACTTCGCAGAGACTACAGTAGAACATCCCCTCTTCACTTCCCTGTTGATCTGCCGAATTTTTACATGAATAACAAAGATACGAAGAACACAGCAAGAAACCCGGGATGGTAGGAAACCAGGAGCTCTGACAGAGTGAGGGGTTGTGTTTTTCATTTCCAGTATTATGATCATGTGTCGATTCAGTAGCATTGTTTTTATTATCAGGAAAATGAAGGTATTTTTTGGATCGAAAGACGCCGGGGTCTGCAGGATCAGCTGCAGCACACCAAATGTATAGCCCGAAGACAGATGCCATCTGAGAATTGCCAAATGGTGAGATAGGTATGTATACATAGATCTCACTCAGCTTGTTTTTTTTTTTTTTTTTAAATAAAGAAGTTAGGAAAAAAAAAAAAAAAAGGGTAAAAAAGGAGAGTAGATAATTAAGTATGGACTTACAAGAGGGGTGTAAATCCCAGTAAGTATGAATTGGAAGAATGGGGTTCCCATGAAAGGAGCAAAGAATACATAGAAAGCAAATCCCAGTGCCAAAAACACTGCTATTGCCACTACCTGCCCACACACACACAAGACATACATAAATAGAATGTGTAGAGAGAGAGAGAGAGAGAGAGAGAGGATACCTGGAGTGGATGGTAAGGAAGTTGCCATCCCTGCTTTCTCATTGTACATAGAAAAAATATGAATAATGAATTGATTTGGAGAAGAAGATTAGATTATATTTGATTTGATTTGATTTGGTGCTAACTATGTAAAAGATGAAGTAGTAAGTAGGTATCTTTCATATTTCAAGCTTTAGTTCCCTCCCTCCCTCATCTGATCTGATCTGTACTGCATTTTGGCACAAGAAATTTCATAAATAAAGAGAGAAACCAAGTAGAATTTCTCAAGAACATCCATCTCTAAAAGAATAAGAAAGAGAATGGATGGGAGGGGAATCTACATTTAATCTTCCAAACAAAACAAAACATAACATGGCAAATTGAAGGTGAAGCTGAAAAAAACAACAGGAGAAGAGAGACAGGGGAACAGACAAATTAAGGATTTGGCTTTGATTTCTTTCTCTTCTTTGAAATTCAATCTCTTTTGCTTTTGCCTATCTATCTATCTATATATGAATAGAGTGAGAGAGAGGGACAGCTTTTAGAGAGAGAAATGGCATTTTTGGGTTACAGCTTACTACAATACCGTTGGCAACCTCCTAAATTTGGGATATTTTGCTGTGTGTTTCTTGCAGTGTCCTTTTCCAATGGACTCACTCATAAATCAGCATCATCTCTCTCTCTCTCTCTCTCTCTCTATATATATATATGTATGTATACATATGTTCCAACAACCACATTAATGGCACCCGAAGAAGATTTTATTTCATCCTATTCTTGTTCCTTCCTATATGCATATCTCATCTGCAATTTCACTTCCACTTCCACATTACAACAATGAAATTATATGACAACGCCACAATTTAATTTAATTTAAAACAACCAAAACATATACGCCCATTTATTATTATTATTTATTTTTCAAATTAATAATTTTCGTTTTTTAAAAAAAAACTACCAATCATGTGGGGTGGGATCATCTGCACGAGCAAGATGGATGATATAGGTCAAGATCTGCACTTCTGATAGTATTTATATTTATTCAATAAATTAATTAGTTAATTAATTAATATAGAAACACACCATCCCATCCCAACTGATTAACTAATTGATGATATATAGATAGAGTGATTCTGAAGAAATTCTTAATTGCATTCCATGGCATGGCTTGGCTGATTGATAAAAATGAATAAAGTCGTAATTGTATTCTACGAAGAAACAACAAAAACAAAAGAGTGTTGTTTAGGAATGAATGATGTTTAATTACTGATTAGTCTCACTCATAGCCAATAGGATATGAGAGGACCCACCGATGCTTACTTAAACTTGAAGAAAAATCAAAGCTAGCTGCCTGCTTTTCAAAAATAATTAATTAATCATTTTTTCAAATTATATATAGGTGAAGGTTTTAAATTGGCACATGTAAAATACAGAGAGATAACACATGTCTATATTACATACATCATATGTTGTTTCTAATAAAGATATAGGTTGCTTGTTCCTAATTACAACGTGTGTTGTAAAAAATATTACGTGTTGTATTTGTATTATATTAGTGTATGTACATGTTGTGTGTTGCCTGTAATTATATCGTATGCTGTCCATTAACACACGATATGGCGGCCGCTATATTATTAGATAATAATAGTATTATTTTATTTTTTTAAATAGTAAATTACATAATATTTCATTGTATTTCATTATAAATACAAAATATATTTTATACTTTCTCAGTTCCTTTATAAAGAAATTATAGGTTTTGTATTAGATATAATAATGTTTTATTGGTAAGTTAGACATTTTGATCTTGTATGTGTTATAATATATTTATAATTTAAATAAAAAATAAAAAATATTTTAATATTAATGTATAATTATTTTTTTTTTATATTGAATTGAGACAGAGAAATATCTTAAAATTTCTTTCGTATTAAAACTAAAACATGCACAAAAGGGGCTGGGCAACTAGAAAGTTGAGAATCCCATACCCAACAATCCTTTTGAATGTATTCTCTCGTCCAGATATTTTGTCCGCATTATCGTATACACAAAAATTAGGAGAGTATAATTAATAAATAATTAAAAATATATTAGTGAAAATAATTATTGTATAATAAAAATAATTATAGATTAAAATTAAGATAATTGATTAGTATAATTAAAATTATAAATTAAATTTTTAAAAATAAGATTAAAGTGTATAATTATTTTCCAAAAAAAGAAAGTGACAAAATAAGTAACAAAAAAAAAATGTGAACTTGAGAAGTGGACCGGAAGGAGTATTAAATTAAAATTTGAACTTATTCATATATTATGTTATTTTTGTGTTGCTTAGATTTGAATATGTTTATATCAAATCTATTTTATGACGCTAAACCCTTAATAATAAACATAATATAATTTTTTAATTTTCATAAAATATTTTCACATTCATTGAAATTTGGATTCAATTCTCAGAAAATATATTTATTTTTTAAAACTCCAAATCTCAAAGAAACTCACCCTAAAATAATTCGATATTTCGATTCCATTTCAAAACCCAGACAGTTCGAACGTTCATTTAAGTCTACTTCAGACAATCTTTTTTCTTAGACAACCCAAAAGAAATATGAAAAATATGTACAAATTTCAGCCTCTCAAGTTTCATCATAGAACTCCTCAAGCAAACCAAATATTCCCATGGCAGCCACAAAACTGTTTCTTTCTCTCTCGATTACTCACTGTGGGATATAGAAATCGAATTTCACGTCGACGCAGCCGCTCGTTTTCCCCGTGTCCTTGTACTCGACATTCACTATAGTCGCCCCGTCATTCTCAGCTTGGTATTCAGATCTCACGCGTCGCACCGGCACAGTCACAGAATAAATTGTGCCGAGGCCGGGATCAGTCGAGACGCTGAGCTGAACTTTGTCACGAGACTCGATCTCGACAAAATCGGAGAGCACCTTCACCACGTTCGTCACTATCTTCTGCTTCGCCTCCTCGCTGACTGCGCATCGATCGGAGAACAGAATCATTCTCAGGCGCTGCTTCGCGACACTCGCATTGGAGTTTCTTCTCTCCGATGGTGAGGGAAATATGATCTTCCATGCCAAGTTTAGGCGCTCGAAGAAGCTCATATTGATCGTATTGTGGAGGAAGGTCTCCGTGTCTTGCGACAGCTTATACCCTTCGAGATTTCCGAGAGCCCTGTCTGAGTGACACCGACTGATATGACAATAGCGTACTGATTTGGAAATACTCGAAGTCCCGTTAGCAAACACACTGAAATCTACCTGTAATACAATACATAATCAGGCTTCTTTCAAATATAAAAAAGAAAAAAAAAAATAAAAATGCACATACATATATATATCTCGAAAAGAAAAACCACGGGTTTATTTCTTTTGCCTCCAAACTCCATATTTATACTATTTGGACTCTGCGTTTCCTAAAAAAATACATTTTTTCCTCTTACAAAACATCTCATCTTGTATTATTTTAATATCAAACTCAAACCAAAATTTTCTAAACCCATCAAAAGAAACACAAGATTCTTTCTACAGAGGCTTGCACAAGAAACTTTTTAATTAATGGAAGGCGCTGGAAATTCAAACATGAGACCCCTCTCGCTAATACAGATTTATGTGAGATGGCCGACTACCATTTAAACTAAATACCCTTTGGTTCAGGTAAATTGAAGGGGGAAGGCACTGTGCAATGTGATCGTCGGTAAGTTGAAGATGTAAAATCTAGAAATCCTACTTTCTGATTCGGAAAATTCACAAAGGAATGAGTAATAAATCATAATGTACATTAAAAATCACATATGAATGTGAAGCAAGATCAAAGTTATCTTCCCTGTCCCTGTCCCTGTCCCTGTCCTTACCCCTGCAATTGTTGTTCATAAATTACAAACTAAATGAAGCCACAGAATATAGAGAGGAATCAACTTAGTGCGACAAGCAATACATGCTCTGCCAGCAATCACAGGATCACAGGACAGAGGATCAATCTGCTAATTGATGCAGAAACAACCCAATAGCTACCTCTGAAAACACTAAAGGTAGGATGCACACTGCATCAGTTTTTCTTTTGTCAAATTATCAATGTAGCAACTTGCTTGATCAGTTTGAATCCAAACATCAAATATCCGAGAAGCAAATTGCTAAATCCAAGTGGTGTCGACACGAAATGAGTGAATATCAGATAAAGACGTCATCAGTAGCCAGTTCACTTTCGTTTTTTTTGCCCAATTATTTAACCAATTCGATTCCACATAAAGACATACTTCCCCTTCACCCTACGGAATAAATATTTCTGCACTTTGAAGAACATAAAAATGGATACCATATATCACACTCCGCAGCATCACATTCAATCAAACATCGACAAATCTCAACATTCGATCACAGCGTAATCCACAAGAACCAAATATTCATGCAAGTAAATGGGGAAAGGAAAAACGAAAACGAAGGCGAAAACAAACCTTAGATGGAGGAACTTGTGTTGCAGCGCGAATCGGAGCAACTTTGTATGGATTCAGAACCGCTGAAAGCATAAAATCCCCAGATGTAGCCATTTGTACAAACCAAAATTATGCTTGAAATCCCTGTACTTGGATCTATCTGTTCAATTGACCTTCAATTTGCTAGGGTTTTGCGAGCAGTATAGTATCAGCTCAGCAACTGAGGTTGACTGGTACCTCCGAACGACGTCGTTTTCAAGTTAATATATACAAACAGCAGTTCGAATCGCTCGCCCATTTCGCTCTCGGTTCTTTTAGGTGTGTTCGGTTGTGGGATTCTATAACAAAATTATTATTTATCAATTTTTTTTTTATAAAATTTTATTAAATTAAATATTTATTTTTTATTTTTATATTATATTAAAAATTAATTTTATATTAAAAAATATAATTTTATTACATTTTATTTTAATTCAAAATTTTTAACATCCAAAATCTCGAGTCAAAATTCAAATATCAAAATAAGCTCACATTTTTTTTGGTTTGGCCGGTATTTTATTTTTATATTTATATTTATTTTTATTTTTATAATAATTGTTTGGGCAGTTCTGTTATTAGCAATTTAGTAAGAACCCTAATCAAGGTTGGCAACTATAGCCCCACTCGGAGTCGAGCTCGAGCCTCGGCGTTTCTGTTTTCGCAGCTTTGATTCGTCAGCACATGGATCGATCTCAACCGGAAACCAAACGGTCTTCTTGATCAAACGCGCGGTGGAGGAGGAGGAGAAGAGAAGGACGATTTCGGATTTTGATCGACATAGGAAGGAACTCGCTGCAAAAGAATCCAGTGAATGGGGAGATGGAGGGCTTCCCTTATAATTCATAGCATCAAATCTGCATCCAAAGCCCTCAATAATTCCAATATCCGCAGGGGCACATTTCTGGAATCCTCAAACTTACCCAAATTTCCGAAACCTAGAAGCCATTTCGCCAATTTTAGGGCATTTTCGGCGCTTCCATCTCCGTCCCCAAATTACGCGGACGAATATGATGCCAATGTTCGTGATTACAATCCGAATTACTTCTTGGAAGAGGAGTCACTGGAAAAGGACGAGGCGGGGAAGATTCCAGTGAAAGCTTTCTTCTTGTGCACGAGGTTCAACTATTTTTCAATTGTTTGCAAAGGATTGGTTTCGATATTTGTGGTTCTATTTTTGTTCAGTTTTCCGGTTTCAATTGGTATTAAATCTTATGATTGAGTAAAGGTTAAAGTTCTTTTCTTTTGTTGTTGTGGATCTGTGATTTCTGTCTGCTATCGAGGTTCCATATACTGCTTTCATGTTATTATTGTGAAATTCAAAATGTGATGTTGTTTTGTTGGATTACCATAGACAATTACTGAGCGAATAGGATTACAACAAACTGATTTTACTATGGCATTTGTGAGTAAAGATTGCCCCAAGAGTGTGTTTGTTACAGAGCATGGGATTGTCTAGAAATGATAGTAGATAATATAATTTCGAATGAGAATTATTCCATTGTTTAACAAAACTATGGATGAAAAAAAAAAAAAAAAAAAAAAAAGCAAACAAGAGAATAAATTGGTTAGGAGGAGATGACGAATCGGATAAGTTTTAGTGGGGCGGGAATCCTCGGAGCAATATGGTTTGTTTAGTTGGTAATTTTTTATTTTGGTGTTGGTTTTTCATTTTTGCTTTGCATAGTAATTTGGATGTGATGTTTTGTTAGATAAAATATTATATTTTTATAAAGGATTGTGAAAGTTGAATAGTAAAAATATTACCAAATGAACACACCATGTATTTCTAAATATGCATTTCTCTCCATTTCTTTGTGTCCATTTTCCTGTACCAAACCCACCCTAAGTTTTTCTGGTGTAACTTCATGCTTGATCATGTTTGTTTGCTTCATGTGGGATGTAATCACCTGCACTCACTGTTCCCCTTGGTGTTGCATTTGTGATTGCCTGTCTCTCAGATATATGGTTTTCGCAGTGTTGATTTGAAGCGAATGCAAGCCGAGAATTCTAGAAATGTCATCCCTCCAAGCTCGCGTTCTTCGAATTTCATTGCCCTTAGATATTGTGATTTCCCATCGCAAAATGTAAGGAGATTCATTTGACTCAGAACGCATTTTGTGACACTCTCAAAACATTAGTCAGTAGTTGCATTATCAAAATTTAGGGATCTTTTTTTTGTGGTCTTGTCCTCATGAAGAAGCCTTTTTTTTTTTTTTTCAGCACGGTGTAGTTAATGGGAATGTGAGTTCCCATAGTTATATGATTGTCTTCCAATATGGTTCGGCAGTTCTGTTCAATGTGGGGGATCATGAAATTGATTTCTACCTGCAAGCTGTTCGAAGACATGGCTCTGGATTGCTTTCTGAGATGAGACGAGATGGTGAGGGATTTCTTGTTTGCCTTCTCAATTTTTGTAAATATATTTGTATTAATTGTGCTTCATATGCTCTCTTTAATTGTCCAATGATGTGTCTTGGTATGATACTATTGCTTTGCTCGCCCATATTAAGATAGCTTCTTCATCTGCTCAGAACTTTCACACAATGAATATTGCAGCCATACAGTTCTTGTGTTTTTGTCATGCATATGATCAAATTATTTGTGTTTTGTCAGATTATGCAATAAAAGAGAAGCCTTTGTTGGCCGAGGATATGCAGGGAGGCGTAGATTACATTGTGTTGAAAAATCTGGACATTGATAGCATACGTGTGATTAGTAGCGTGCTCGGACAAAGCATTGCTCTGGATTATTTTGTGTCCCAGGTAATGAAAGATGCATAATTGTTCTGCTCTATTAATTAAAAAATGGGAAAATTGCACTTGGTCTCGTAGGTGTGATTGCCGCCATTGCTGTGGTTTCACATTATCTCATGCTTTGTAAATATTTTGGGTTGTGTTTAGATATGTTTGGAATTTGTTTAGTTGTTGAGTTTTGGGAATAATAAAAAGTTGAATAAAAAATAGATGTTTGATATGATGTTAATATGTATTGGATGTGATATTTAGTACAAAAAATATATGTTTTATATAATATTTTAAATGAAAAATAAGTATTTGATGTGAATTCTTTTAAAAATGTATTGTTGATTAATATTGCCAAATGTGATTTGAAAATTATAAACAAAACCTTGATCTTCAGTGCTGGAAATTAGCTGCATTAGCGTCAATAGGTCATATCAGCACACATGTCATGTGTAAATTTCCATCACCAAAAAACAAAAATATCGATGATAAACTATATATGAGATTATTTACAAATAGGTCCAAATTTTCCATCATCGAAAAACTAGAATATTGACGATGAAAAATATATTAGACTATTTACATATAGGGTCCAACTAAATAACTAATATGATAAGAGATCCACTGGCGGGACCAAAAACATAGAGTTTGTTTGGTTTGGTGTGTATTGATGCTTTTGTGTGTTTTAGGAATAGTAAAAATTTTAATTGAAACGATTGTTTGATATAATATAAATAGATCTTTAATGTAATTTTTTAAATAAAAAATAATTCCTAAATGTAATATATTAAATAAAAAATAAATGTAATGTGATATTTTTTAGAGAGAGAAAAAATAAATTACCATTGAATAGTGAAACTTGGTATAAAAAAACACAGCCAAACAGATCCATGGTTTTCCTTAAAAGTATTATTCCTGGAGAACACAGCATTGCTGTCGTAAAATTACAGCTAATGTTAGCTAAGCTCACAAGCTAATAATCTCTCCTTCCTTTTAGGTTGATGGTATGGTTGAAGAGTTTGCAGAAATCAACCGGGGAATGGAGAAAACTGGCACTTTCACCATGGACCGGAAGAAGCTGTTTCAACTGGTTGGAAAGGCTAATTCAAATATAGCTGATGTAATTCTAAAAGTCGGGCTGTTCGAAAGGTAACCGTGATGTGTGACAAACTTTGAAATGCAACTTTCCACTCACATTATCCTCTCGTCTAAATAATTTAAGCAGAAATTGGCTTGTTTTGTCTTAATTTAAGTTCCAATCTTCAGATCAGAAATTGCATGGAGAGATGCAAAATATGCACAAATACTTGACTACCTTCGCGAGGAATACGAGGTCACTCAGCGATTTGGAAACCTTGATTATAAGCTAAAATTTGTCGAGGTATCCTTAAATTTGAGGCCACTAAAATTTAGCACAACTTTCATTTGTTTTAGTGTAAAAAATATGCAAGAACTGTCGGTAATATTGCCTCTTACAAATGATCTGCAGCATAACATTCATTTCCTCCAAGAAGTGCTCCAAAACCGTAAGTCGGATCTGCTGGAGTGGTGCATCATTGTCTTGTTGAGCATAGAAAATGTAATCTCAGTGTACGAGATTGTTCACGAGTCCTTTGGAAAATCAATATGAGCTCAGTGTGTCAGGTAATTCTTTTGCTGCGACAAAGTTGCTGCAGCTGTGCTAGGTTGAAAGCATTCTTTTAGTCTTCCTTGAAATTATACAACTATAGCAATGAATTTTGCATGGCTAGAACAGTCATTATTTATATCTAAACCATTCGGTTGGTAGCCGCAGAAATAATTTGTTCTTCGTAGATTTTTCCATATAAATGCATCTCATTTTTGCTTCATTTGATCCCTGGAAGCAAATCCAGCGCTGATAAAAATAAATAACGTTGTGTTGAAAATGATTATGCATGTATTAAGTTACACAGTATGTTGAATATTTATATAGGAGATATTGTCGCAAATTACATAAGATGTTGAATAATGTGAAGATTTTGACAAGATTGCTTGTATTTAACCAGGCCTGGAATTGGGTCATTTTTCTTGTTTGTTGTATTTATTTTTTCGTTTTCAGAAATGAGAGATCATTTCAATAGTTTTTTTGTTTCTATCATGGTATCAGAGCGGGTTTAACGCAATCCGCTGTGATTTTTCTTCTTGTTTCCTGCTTTTTTTTCTTCTTTCCTTTCCGTCGATTGCAATTTGCAATCTATTTGAATAATAAAAAAAAAAGACTGACAGCTCTAGCAGCTTGTCTACCGATCATCCTGGAATGATCTTAATCACCACATACTCACCGATAGAAATTAACTGCTGTGGAGCAGAGGAATTTTGAGGGCTTTGGCTGCAAAAGGGGAAAAAGGTTTCATCACCGGAAGTATTCCTAAGCCAACAAAACTCTTATACTGATGTATTCGGGTATGTGAACACTAGCTATGAACTGTGGATTATGCTTTAAGGAAAGGTATGGTCAATGTAATGGACCTTTAATCTATCGTTTACGAAGGGAACGTGCTAGTACAGTTCAAGGGAATATGACCATTGCTGCTTACTTCACCAAGAAATAGAAGCTATGTGATGAACTCCACTGTCTCTCCAATTTCAGATAGTAAGAAAGATGTTGAGGAATATGTTGAAAGGCAGGAAACAATGGAGTTTCTAATTGGATTGAATGAATCTTTTGAAAATATAATGAGTTCCTTCAATGAACAAAATCTATACCATGCTTGCTAGTGTTGAACAACACAGAAGATTCAAGCCACTTTACATGACTCTTAACTCCACTATACTAATGAGTGCTCAAAAACTCACCCAACAGTTTAAGAAGAAAGTTTTAGAAAGAAAATTCTGTTCTGCACTCATTGCAAGAAAAGAGGTCATACAAAGAACACTTGCTTCAAGCTGAATGGGACACTAGATTGGTTTAAGTCTATCTAAGAAAAAGGAAAAAATGAGAACAAGGGAAGTCACTTTGTTCACAACATACAATCAAAGGTGAATGACTCTAATGAGAAGCTTAATACGACACCCGACTCGATTGCTGAAATGATCAAAAGGGAAATGCAAAAGATGTTTAGATGTAACATGAACAACCCCGTTGAACAGTTCAATATGTTTGAAGCAGAACAAGCGAATAATGAATTTGTGAATGTACATTGTGAGAAGTCTGTGTGCAGGTTTGTGGGTTCTTGATTCCGGTGTCACCTGCCGTATAAGTAACAATGTGAAACACTTTCAAGGTCTAACACCTCTAAAAACACCAGCCAAGATTTACTTGCCCAATGGAACAACACTACTTCATTCCCAAATTTACACACTATGATCTTTATCCACAAATTGTGTCAAGATTCTAATGTCTGTGTAAACTTCTTGGTTGAGTTCTGTTCAATACATGACTGACAAAACAAGATTGAGTTGGGAAAAAAGGAAGACTAAAAGGGCATCTCTATTACTTAACACCTATTGAAAATTCTCCTTGACAATGCAGACTTGACCACCCTTCAATAAAGTGTTAACACATATGTCTGATTTATCCTCGAATTCTAAACTTCACGTTCTTTGTGACACTTGTCATTAGGCTAAGCAAAAGAAATTGTCATATCTCATGCTACTTCTTGTTTTGAGCTTTTACATCTCGATGTATGGGGCCTTTATAATGTAGCATCTACTAATGGAAGTAGATACTTTTTCACCATTGTGGATGATCATAGCCGTGCTACTTGAATTTACCTTATAAGGCTGAAATCTCAAACTCCTGTTATATTTGGTATATTTTTGTGAAACTTGTGTAGAATTAGTTCAAAACCCATGTTAAAATGGTGCCAGCGGACAATGGAGGAGAGCTTATAGGTCATATGTTTCAACAACTGCTTCAAAACAATGGTATGTTTCTCACCAAAGGACTTGCCCTTACAACCCTGAACTGAATGACAGAATAGAAAGAGAACATCAGCACTTGTTCACTGTGGTAAGATACCTCAGGCCTACCAACATTCTTATGGGGTGAAGCCTTACAGCCACCCATCTTATAAACTTGCTCCCAAGAAGTGGAGATCACCTCACTTTATGCTATAGGGAACAACTTTAGGGGGTGTGTTCATCTGGGATTTTCTAAGATTCTATTGGATTTTAAAAAGTTTATGGATCTTTGTGGATTTAGAAAATTTACAAAATATATACAGAGTTTGATGGATTTATGTATTGATTTAAATGAATTCCTATAGATTTGATTAGATTGTTTATAAATCTATATAGATTTCATAGGATTGAAAATTAATTTTTTATTGATATTATTATTCAATATATTAATTTGTTTTAATTTATTAGAATTGTAGCATAATTTTATTATGTGTATATGTATTATTATTTTAGCAAATTTAATGTGAAATGGTAATGTGATAAAATGGATATGGAGAGGAATAATATCACATTGGCAATCGACTCGGTTCACATCCTCGCTATATTATTTTCAATTAAATTTATTTAGATATTTTTTTATGCAATAAAAAATAATAATTAATTTAAAATTTCAGTTAAAAATATAGATGCTATTATATTTTAAAATTTGAAATTATTATTATTTTATTAAGATATTATAATAATATTAATAATTATTATCATAATATTTATCACTTATAAGAATAATAATAATAATAACATATTTTAAGAATTCGTCAAAATCTCTAGGAGAGATTTTATACTGTACATTTTATACATAATTTTTTTATTAAAATCCAATAAAATTTACAGATTTTTAAGTGTATGGATTGTTGAACTTTTAAAAAAATTTGAATTGAATACGTTCAGATTTTAAAAGACACATAGATTTAAAAAATCCAACAAAATCTTAATCTTAATTGAATACAACCCCCAAATCATCTAAGGGTGTTTGGATGTCTATGCTTCGCTGATAATGCAATCCTTCAAGGTTCAAACTAGATAAGAGGGCCACCAAATGAATATTTGTAAGGTATGAACATGAAACAAAGGGATACAAAGTTCTTGATATTGAAACAAGGAAGATAAGAGTTACAAGGAATGTCACATTCTATGAAGATATGTGTCTTGGCCTAAGCACATCACCTTCTAGAACATTGCCTCACGACAATTTTTTTCCTCGAGGAAGTTGGATACCCTTTTAACACATCAAATATATGAAGTACGTGGATATATAGGATTAAAAGGATTACGGATGGGACACTTTACAAATATAAAGCTAGACTTGTAGCGAAAAACTATCTACAGAAGTATGGTGAGGATTTTGGTGAATCATTTGCTCATATTGCAAAGAGTGTCATAGTAAGACTATTCAACAAATTGTAAATAATATCTTTTTGCATGGAAGTTTGGAGGAGGAACTTTATCTTAAACCCCATCATAGATACTATGTGCCATTGAATCAATTTTGCAGATTGAGAAAGTCTTTTATGGCCTTAAACAGGCTCTAAGAATTTGGTATAAAACTCTCAATGATAAAGTGCAACAGTTTGGGTTTTGACAGTATCCTCACGATCACTATCTGTTTATCAAGACTCAAGGATCTGATGTTATAGTTCTCATAATATGTGGATGACATTCTCTTAACCGGATCAGGGCCGTTCCTGACTTTCGAAGGGCTCGGTGCAAAATAAAAGTTAGGAGCCCTTAAATATATATATATATATATAATATTTTTTACCTATAATAAAATATAAATTAAAAAAATATGTATTTTTATAGTATAAATTTTAAAAATTGCCCTGCCATACAAAAAATATAGATGAAAAGTCATCTTCTCAACACCAAAAAAATATAAAAATGAGTTTAATTAAATATTTTTTAAAGTAAAAAGGAATTCATGCTATTTTTTAAAGTATTTTTAACTACCAAGCCATGCAATTGTACCAATACATTAATGTCAAATAATATTTATATATAAATAATTTATATATAACATAAATAAATAATGGATCCCAATTTAGATTGGGCCCTGGGCGATCGCCCCTTTCGCTCGGGCCCAGGGACGGCCCTGAACCGGATCCTCTCATAAGCTTGTTCAAAGCGGCAAAAATTATCCACGTAAGGCTTTTACCATCAAGGATCTAGGTGATGGAAAACTTCTTTCTTGGCATTCAAATTCAATAACATGATTATGGGATCACTTTTATCTCAATCACAATATATACATGACATACTCGAAGATATGAGAATGCTTGAGGCTAAGCCAGGCTTGACTTCGCTGCAACTTTTAGGCAACAATGGTGATCCTCTTGAGGATCCATCAACGCACAGAAGATTTATTTATAGAGTGTTGTATTTGAATTTCTCAGGACCTGACATTACATTTGCCTGCCAACAGTTCAACCAATTCATGGACAGACCTTTGCTGCCTCCTTGGAAGGTTGCAAAGCATCTTCTTAAATATCTAAAAGGATCTATGAGTTACAATTTTGTTCTAAGATCTAAGGGTGTGTTTCTCTGCAAGCCCGGTTTGTTGACAGCAAAAATTGCACTTTTGTTTTTTTTTTTTAAAAAAAAATAAAACATAAATACAGTCCAAATATTTCATTTATTTGATATTTATAATAATATAATTTAATAAAATATATACAATATATATGTCATTTTGTAGAGTATAAAATTTTTTATAATAAAAAAAAATTAAAAATACATATGTAGATATAATATAAATTCATATTTAAATCATACCATTATTAATTTTTAAAATTTAAATGTAATACACACATATATTATTGTATTTACTACCTATCAAATAAATACATATCAATACTCCCGAAATCCAAACCAAATCTACACACTAAAGAAACACATAAATTCAAACCTACCTAAAAATCAAATAAACACCAAACTCAAACCAAAATTTTCTCAAACCTCCCTAAAAAAACACACCCTAACTTTTCATTACAATTATCAGGATTTTGCGACTTTAATTGGGGAACATGTCCTAATTCACGAAAATCTATCACAGGATATTGTGTTTTCCTTAGCTATAATTTAATTTCTTGGAAGGCAAAGAAACAAACTAGGATGATTATATCTTCCACGGAAGTAGAATATCAGAGCATGAGCACAACATCGTGTGAATTGGTGCGGATTTCTTATTTACTTGAAGCTCTAAAGCTTCATGTCTTAACACCAAGACCATTACACTTTGATAACCAATCGGCCCTTTACATCACTAGGAATCTAATGTATCACGAGATAAACGAAGCACATTGGAATGATATGCCATTTGGTTATAAAGCACTACGAATTAGATTTCATCATGTCAACGCATGTTAGGACGAGTGCTCAGATTGCGGATATCTTCACCAAAGCTTTATCCAACTCTACATTCAAATCTCTCCGCGCCAAGCTCAACCTTCTCCCGCTTGGCTTGAGAAGAAAAACAGGCAAGCTTACTTGTATTTAGCTAGGCTTGGAATTGGGTCATTTATCTTATTTGTTGTATTTATTTTTTCATTCTCTCCTTACGCCTATTTTTTAGCTGGGTTGGACTTATAACCGTGAGGTCATGGGTTTAAACTCTTGACGTCTCAGGTTACCTGCCACACGTGGTTTGCCTGTGGGATTCTCACGTCATAAAAAATAAATAAATAAAATAATAATAATAATAATTGTTCAATCATCTTATGAGAAAGGAGAGATTATTCTTATAGTTCTTTGGTTTTCATCAAATAGTACTAATATAGTTAATTTGTTTAATATCAAAATTTTGTACTATGGAATATGATCTTTGTTGATACATAATATGATGTTAAATAACATGTTCACTTTGTAATTTTTGTATTAGGTGCCGAGAAATGTGTTTTAATATAAATATAATATTTTTTGTTGAATTATCGATTATTTGTGAGTGAATAGAATGTATATTTTGTATTTAATACTTTCTTCGTCTTGAATAATTGTCGTCATTATTACTTTTTGGTTTATTCATTAAATTTATATATATTAAATAATTTTATTTCCTAATAATTTCATTAATCCTATTTTAGCTAATAATAATCAATTTGAACGTTATTCCTTTTTTTTTTTTTTTTTTGAATTCTATTAATTTTTCAATAATTATTTTTTTATAATATCTTCATTTTATTTTTCATCTACTTCACTTTTAAATTAAAATTGTAGTATTATCTTTTAGTATTTATATCCAATCAAACAATAAAGATCCCAAACAGAACGGAGTAATATTTATTGAAAATTGTATGATTAAAAAAGTATTAGGTAAACCGACGAATAAATATAAAAAAAACTTACGCCGTTTCTTACATTGCAATCAAAGAGATGTATTTTACTTTTTGTTGCCAATAAAATTTGAACTAATAATCTTGCGGTCATCAGTCTTTTCTTCTAACACGAACACTGTCATACATGACTCACTTCAGACAAGTTTTTTGGCATTTTGGGCCGCCACAACACAACCCCTCTCTTCTGCAGCCACCGGTCCACCAACCGGACCGTATTCCCGACGAAGAGAATCAGCATAACACTGCACCACACGACGAGCGCAATCTCGGTGACATGGTTGAACGACTTCCGGTCCTTCCCGGGAGTCACGACGGCGATTGCAATCGCATACGTCGCCGCAGTCGACGTGATCGTCAGCCACATAATCACCATCAAAACCCACATGAAAAGCCTCCGCCGGAACGGCAACCCGCTAATTAAAAGCAAGATCGTGCTTAGGGACGCGATGAATGCGATGGTGTTGACGCGCATAAAGGCCTTAAACGATTTGGGATGGTTATGAGCTATTATAGCTTCCCCTGCCCGGTGCGGGTACAATCCATTTGAATCTGGGCCAGAGTCATCCTGCCAGACGCCGCCGGGAGGGTTAACCCCGACTTGGAAAGCCATTGTTGCTATAAGAATCGCTACCACCATTATGGCGTCGCGCTTTTTTGTTAGCCATTTAACCGGTTGATTTTTGGCGTAGCCCGAGTCGTGCAATTTCGATGTAAGAATGTTCTTTATCCTCGAAGAAGTTGCGTCCCGCGGAATACATTGGTCTAGCATGGCTACCGGCGTTAGCCCCTCGGTGTTTTTCGCGTGGAGGTTTACGTCGGATATTCTTGCCAAGTACTCGACTACCTACACGTAATTGTGTAACTATGGTGACAATAAGTTAATCCCAAAAAGAAAGTTTAACAAATAGATAAATATGATGCATCTAGGCCCGTTCCTGACTTTTATGGTAGATAGGAATAAATTAAGGGTGCCTTTGACGTAGAGAATGAATTGTAAAAAAATAATGGTAGAGAAAATAAATTCAGTAGAAAAATTGATTTGATTGTTCTGTTTGGTAAAACGATGTATTGCGATTGAAAACGGGAAAATGAATCGACGAGGAGAAAACGATGAATTAAATTAAAAGAAAATTTTAGTAAAGTAAAAATCTATGGAAAATATTGCAATCTTCATTTAGTATTTTATGTTGGAATCAAAAGATGTAATACTAACATATTCATTAAAATTTGTGTGTATTTCATACAAACATATGTTTTTTTATGGAGGGAATAAAAAATACAAATAAACAACTATTAATAAAATTATTTCTAAAAAATAAATTAACAAACTTTTTGAAATCATATGATCAAATCAATTTATACAAATACAAAAAATTTCAAAAGAATATAATATCTCTATCTTAATACAATAGTTTTGTTAATTTTTTTGTCCGTCTCAAAATAATAATCTTATTTCCATAAATAACAATATCACCATAAAACTACCCTTACTTTTTAATTTTATTACACAATTTCCACTACTTTTTACACTAATACACTCACAAGGGCAAAAAAAATTTTTATCCATACTTTTTACCAACTACCAATATAATATCAATATTCCTTAAATTTTGTGTCTAACCCAATTAAGATTATAATTCTAGGACGGAGGGAGTAATATATTACAATTTATAAAATAATTTTAAAAATTATTGGTTTTATATGCTCAACAAAAAAATTTTCCACATAATTTTTAAGTTTATAATATACTATCTCCATCTCAATTCAAATTAATATTTTTATTATTTTTGTCCGTGTCACTACAAAATATCTCTTTTATATTTAGTAAAAGTAGTAATATACTAATACCAAAATACATTTACATTTTACTTAAATTATAAATATATCATTATACATACAATTTGCTTTATAAATAAAATCAAATCACAAAAATATCAAAACTTCTTACATACTTCAATTAACAAATAAAATACTATTATTTTTTAATCTAATACTATAAAACTCCAAAGGGTCTGTTTGGAGTGAAACGGAGAGAATATATTCCAATATATCACAAAAAGTCAATATTTAATATTTTTTTTTTATCTTTGAATATTAATTATTATATCTAGAAAAAAAAATAGAAAAATACTTTTATTAGTATCTTATAATACTAAAAATACAAATATAAAAATATTTTTAATATTAAACGTAAGACATAAATGTGACACAAGTAGACAGAAGGAGTAGTACTAGATGTCTTATAATACTAAAAATACAAATATAAAGATATTTTTAATATTAAATACGCAAAACATAAATGTGACACAAGTGGACAGAAGGAGGAGTACTAGATACAAAATATTATTTTTAGATTAAGATTAATTTGAATAAAAAAATACTTCAAACAAAAAAATTAAAACAAACAAACCTAATATTACCTCGACTTGTCTGGCGTCAACTCCAATGTGCAAGACAGTGTTGCCATTGCCGTCCTTTTCCCGGACGGCCGCGGGAAATTTCTCGGCAAGCTCCGACAGGACGGCGACATGGCCGTTCATGGCGGCGAGATGGGCGGGGTTTCGGAATTGGCCGTCACGTGACAAGCACATGCCGGGCGCCGCCAGCAGCAGCCTCCGCACGATCTCGACGTGGCCATCGGCCGCCGCTATGTGCAGCGGCGACGATTTTCCGGCGTCGAGTTGGCGCGCGAGGTGAGGAGCGCGGTCCAGGACCTCCGCGACGAAAGTGGAGTGAGCCTTGATGGTTGCCACGTGGAGCGGAGTTTTGTCGGGACAGTTGTAGGAAACCCTTTCTAGAAGAAACGGGTCCTGCTGGAGTAATGCACCTAGGAGCGTCGTATTCCCGGCCAGGGCGGCGTCGTACAGCTGGTTTTCCGACATCGGCGCCGGCGCCGGAGCTGTTCTTGGTTGAGGGTGGGCGGTTGGGTGGGTGGACGGAATGCCGTTCAACTTGGGGGTTAAATAATGGGTGTGTCTGTGTGTTGACTTTGTCAACGGAGTTGACCGTGGAAGCTGCTGGGAATTACACTCTTATTATCTTATGTAACAACATTACTGAGTTCGTTCGAGTTTATTAGTTAATAAATTAATTCCAAATAAAAAATTTTAAATAATAGATAGATCTTTAATGAATGAAAGTGGAGTATATATATACTCCCTCCGTCCAACTACAAAATATATATTTTTACTTTTAGATATTTAATTATAAAGTAACTATTATATTAAATACTTTATACCCTTACTTTACATCACATTATTACTTTTATATCCAAAATTAAGAGCAAAAATATCATTATATTATTTTTACTTACTTATTATAATTAAAATAATGTTATTTCTTAAACTTCGCACCAAAAGTAACTATATACTTTCTTATTTGGACGAAGAAAGTATTATTTAGGATGTGTTTCTCGATTTTGGCAAAATTTTCACCATAGTTTAATAAAATATATATATTATTTTGTAGAAAATAAATTTTTTAAATACAAATAAATTAAATTTTAAAAATATATATTGAATATAATATAAATTCATAATCAAATCATATCATTATTAATTTTATCAATTAAATTTAATACATATTTTATATTATTATATTCATTACCTATCAAATCAGCACATTTATTTTATCTTTAATATGAATAGTAATTTATAACTATATATTTTTATAAAAAGAATACTCCATCCGTCCCGCAACAAGGGTGACGTTTGCTTTTTGCACGTAGATTTTTGAATATTAGTATTATATTAAATTGTAGTAAAAAAGACAAAAATATCCCTATTAGTATGGTGTAATATAAAAGTAATAGTATTTGTGTAATATATTGTAAGTCGAAAGGGTATTTATTATGTGAAGTAGGTAGTACAATTACTAAATTAGGAAATGGTAACTTTGGGACAGACAAAAATGAAAAATGGTAACCTTTCAATGGGACGGAACCTTATTTTAGTACGAACGAAAATGAAAAATAGTAACATTTCAATGGGATAGAATATAAAAAAAATATATAATAATAGTTAATATAAGTGTATATGTATGTTATATATATGTTCACACTTGTAGAGAGCAAAATATGTTTTTCAATGTCTGAAGTCTTGGTAAAGTAACACGTATAATAATGTTAAAAAATAATGCATGGTAATTAAATACAGTTAATTTCTAATGGCTCAGTTTGGTTTTGGTTTTGTATTATATTTGAATTTCAATTTGAAGTTTAATTTAAATAGTATTTTTTTTCATAAATTAAATATTATTTTATAAGTTATTACATTTAAATATTTAGTATTTATAGTAAAATTTAAATTCAGACCAAAATAACAAACCCTTGTTTTGACTGTGTTATCATTATAAGGTGAAGTATAAGTCGTTGACTTGGAACTAGACTTTTGGAACGTTCGATTCGACACCTGATTGGTGGATGACTTTCGAGTGCCTATTTCTTAATAACAATAACAACAATAATAATTCTACTTATGTTTATTTTGACTTTTGGGACAGTATATATATATATATATATTTGAAAAATCTTTTAAATTTTATATTTTTTAAAAATATATTTATTTATTTTAATAAAATATTTCATCAAATATTATTTTAATATTAAAATCAATCAATTCTTTTCAAACTTTTAATAAAAAATGCACCCTTGTTTCCATGTAACAATTGAAAAGTAATACTCCCTCCGTCCTAAATACCTTGTAACATTTTTTTTTTCCCAAATTCACTGCAATACTTCCAAATTTAACAATAATTAATAATATTTTTATACATATATTAATATACATTTCATTTTATCCCATCACATCACTCAAATAAAAAAAAACAAATAATCATTTCTCTCTCCAATCACATTACTTAATATCCAAATTATCGCAAATTAATATAATTAATACTCTCCACCTAAATTCCCGTGCCAAACACAAATATTACATTGCATTTGGAACGGAGGGAGTACAATTTCAGCAAGTAGATCATACTACATTTATTGCATCTCCTACAATATTAAGTCAAGAGTACATTTGTATCGAGAATAAAATTGCAGGCAATAAAGAGTAGAATTGTAAAAAAGAAAAAGCTTTGTTAAAAATGAGAATTGATTTATTCTATTTGATAAAAATAAACAATTTAGTTAAAAATTGTAAAAAAATGATATATGACAAGTGAAAAAAGAAATGATGAATAAAATGAAAGAGAATTTCAATAAAGTGAAAATTCATAAAAAAATAAAAATAAAAATATATCGATTGTATTTAGTCAATGATTTTTTCACCGTCAATTTGGATGCAATATTTCATAAAATCAGAATAATATATTTTTAAAGAAAATTGTAAAAAATAAATAGTACAAAAATTAAACAATTAACTCTACACATTTATCAATTTCATTTCTCTTTATTTATTTGTGCATGTAAAAATAAAAATAAAAATAAAAAATCATTCCTTTTTTAAATTTGAATTCTCCGATCAAACAGATAAACTAAAAATATATATATATATATATATTTATCTTAAATTATTATAAAAAAATATTTATTTTTTTTTCAAAATGTCCAACAAACATCTGTGCACATCCAACAATAAAAATTACACTATACAAATTATTATAGTAGATAAGACCATAAGACATATAGTAAATAATGTTTAGTGGAGGGCCATTTCGTTAATTAGAGGATTATGTTTGTTGTTAATATATATATATATATATATCTGCAAGTTGTAGTTCAAATAATAAATTTAATTATTTTATGGGCAACTTTCACATATTTTTTTAATTTTATATTCATATTCTTATTTACTTTTTATACATTAATTTTATTTTCTTTATTTTTTATTTTTACAAATTTATTCTTTTTTACTTCCTATTCATGTAAAAATTCTATAATACCCTCATTTAATTTCTTTATCATTTTTCTTCTTTTTTCAACTACACTGTAATTTTTATAATTTATTTATATTTTTTATTAATTTAAATATAAAATAAAAGATTACAACAACAAAAATAATAATTGACAAGAAATAATAATATATAATACAAAAGTACTCATAACTCTTACATTATAATTATATAAAATATTTATAAGAAAAATATTGATTTCAATTAAATATAAGTATGAGTAATATAATAAACAAGCTGAAAATAATAAATTTTTATTTGAAAAAATATTTTTCTATTATAAAAACTAAAGTATTGTAACAAATTCTGCAAAAATTATTGAGCCATAAGTAAATAGATTCTATATACAAAAATTTATTTATATAAAATAGATAGATTTGTTCCATAGATAAACAAATAATATAATTAAATATTATTTAGTTAAGGGTTTTGGATTATATTTGGTGGATAAAAATATGAATAAAAAGTTATTTAGAGGGTAAAATGGGTAAAAATGTGAAATAATTACAAAAAGGGAGTGATGCGAAATAAATAGAAAGCTAAATAAAAAAATTATATGAATATGGACTAATAAGGAAAATGATTTAGGAATCGAGGATTTTAGAAGAATTAACCCTTATTTTATTGGTTGTTGTTATTTTCTAGTTGTGTGTAAGTAATGTATCATTAATAAAATAATTAACTAGGGATGTGTTTGGATGAAGTTTAAGAAGGGTGTGTTTGTTTTGGAATTCTTGGATTTTGAGTGACATTTTTTATTAGTAAAATTTTGAATTTGAATAATTGTTTAATATAATTGTTAAGCACAAAAAAATAAAGTTAGGGTTTGAGCAGGAAGGATGAATGGATGGACCAGTGGCGATCCATGGAGGGCCAGAGCCATTCAGTCGGATGATTGTTGGGCCAGGTCGGTCGGACGGTTGCCCCTATGGACAGCTTGTTGGTTAGTCACAAATGTTACCGGCTAGAAGTGGTTTCGGACGGTTCAAATCGGTAACCGATGAGGAACCGGTTTTGGACGATTTTTAATTGACGTAGAAGCAGTTTTTTACGATTACCGACGTGAAATCAGTTTTTTGGGCGGTTCAAGAGTAACCGCCATAGAAGTGGTTATGGAAGGTTTGGTTTGATACATATTTAAGTAGCCTCAGCGATAGAGGAAAAACATCTTCAATCAGACAAAATTCCAAGAGAATCTCATTGGAAATCATCATTTTATTTTCAGTTATCATTTTCAACTTTCATTTTCTTTTCACTTGAGGATTTATAGTCCCAAGTTTTATTGTTCAAATTCGAAATATATTTTCGAATTTTACTTTTAATTTGTTGAAATTTTACCATCAACAAATTGGTGACCACAGTGGAAAAAAAATAATAATAATTGATCATATGTCTAACGAAAATTTCATACAACTCCGATCAAATTATTGTAAGGAACTTCATGGCAGGTTCTCAATCTCAAAGCCTCAGCACAGCTATCAGGGCCACCACGGCAACGCCACCATCAATCCTCACTACAGGGATCATCTCTCAAATACCATCGGAATGGTTAAATCATGTTCAACAAATGAATAATAAGCAAACAACAACCTTGCATATAATGTTGCACGAGCAATAAAACTTGATACATAACATGTTAAGTCAAGCCCTGTCAAAAGTCACACTTCACTCCGCGCCTTCACCTCCAAGAATGTCCCTTTTGCGCTTTCAAGCAAACTTCACAGCGCCTTTATTTGTGGACAACACCATTCCAAGTGCTATCCTAGGGCCATCATTCGTGGACAACACCATTCCAAATGCTATCGTAGGACCGTCATTTGTGGACAACACCATTTCAAGTGCTATCATAGGGCCATCATTCGTGGACAACACCATTCCAAGTGCTATCACAGGGTTTTCATTCGTGGATAGCACCATTCCAAGTGCTATAATCCCTACTAGGGCAGAGAGAGGGAAAACTCCCCTCACTTTTCCAAATAATATCCCTTTGGGGATTCGGCCTGAGCCGTTTCAACAGAAGGATGACCGACTTTGACAAAGGGATGATCGACCTGGAGGTCATCCTCATGATCTCATTCCAGTTCTGAATCATCCAATACTGGGAGAAGTCGGTTGGCCTTACATGGGAAGGATTGGAGATAGCCGTCCAGTGGGAAGTCGGTTGGCCTCAGGATATATCTACCAGACTCGTCTCCAGCGGGAAGTCAGTTGGCCTCAGGAGAGTCAACCACTGGAGGGTCGGTCGCTGGTTAGCCGGCTTTGAAAGGGCCAACCAGAGGACCCAAAGATGGGAGCTCAACCACCGAAGAATTTGTGGCTGAAAGGTCAGTTGTTGGCAGGTCAGTTGGTTGTTGATCAGGAGAAGCTGGTAGTGTGGTCAGGAAAGAGAGCCAAGAATACCTTATCGGCAACCGACTTGACGCATAAAACAATGGGGTTGGTAGTTAAAGACTCTCAATTTTTGTTGCAGACCCAAACAACACTTCTTGTGCCGATCGAGAGTGATGTTTGGGAGTCAAAGAAGAAGGAGGCAAGTTGTTGAGCACAAAAAAATAGGGTTAGAGTTTGAGCCTAGGAATGATGACTGGATGGATCCAGTTCCAATGGAGGGCTAGAGTCATTCGGTCGAATGGTTGTTGGGGCTAAAGTGGTCGAACGGTTGCCCCTACGGACAGTTTTTGTCTGAGTTTGGGCCTTGGGACGGCTACAAAGGTAACTGACGTGGAAATGGTTTTGCTGGGATGGCTGGTCGGTTGGTCACAAAGGTTACCGACTAAGAAGCGGTTTCGGACGATTCAAATCGGTAACCGACGAGGAAGTGGTTTTGGACGGTTTGTAACCAACGTGGAAGCAATTTTTTTTATAATTACCGACGTGAAAGCAGTTTTTTGGGCGGTTCAAGGGTAACCGCCATAGAAGTGGTTATGGATTGTTTGGTTTTATACGTATTTAAGCAGCTTCAACGATAGATGAAAGACATCTTCAATCAGACAAAATTCCAAAAGAATCTCATTTGGATCATCATTTTATTTCCCGTTATTCTTTTCAACTTTCATTTTTCTTTTCATTTGAGGATTTATAGTTCCAAGTTGTATTGTTCAAGTTCGAAATATATTTTCAAATTTTACTTTTAATTTGTTAAAATTTTACCATCAACATTAATATAAATATGTGTTGATATAATATTTAAATATAAAATTAATTTTTTTACTAAATTATAAAAACATAAAAATAAGTATTTAATTCCATATTTTTTAATAATAACTAAATACTAAAAACTCTTAAAAAGATAAACAGACATGCAACCTAAAAGTTTCTTATTTCCTTAAAGTTTGATTTATTTTTTGTTTGACCATTTCTAAATGGATTTCCAGTCAAACCCATCTAAATAAGATTTTGTTGATTTGGATATGTTCTTTTTTTTAAAAAAAAAAAAAAAGAAAAAAAAAGAAAAGAAAAAAAACGTATATATATATTAATATAACTCCAACCAAAATGATGAAATATTATTACTTTCTAAAGAGCTCTTGTCAGTTGGAGTCATGATTTTACTAATATATATATATATATACACACATATAATGGTTGGAGCAAAAATGTACTATAATTTTAATCTGCATTTGTTTGATTAATATCCTAATTTGTTAGATTATACCGTCAAGAAATACTCTCTTCGTCCCATAACAAAGTATCTATTTTTTCATTTTAGTCTGTCTCATTTTAGTCTATCCCATAATAAAGTAATCATTTCCTTTTTTTAGTAATTGTACTATATATCTAATATTACAAATACTCTTACAACTTACAATATATTATACAAATATCATTACTTTTATATCACATATACAAATAAGGTTATTTTAGTCATTTCTATTTTATTCCTACTATATCTCAATATAATACTAATATTTTTAAAACTACGTATAAAAACAAATTATCTTGAGAGATTGTAAAGTGAAAATAGATTATTTTGTGAGAGAATTTTTGGCCTACGCATCGGACAATGATCACCTATGACTTATGTGTCACAAGGCGGGTTCCATGGATAACGGAGATGAAATAGTGGTTGGTCGCGATTCCGCGAGGGTGAGTTAACCTTTTAGAGTACGCTATGGGTAAATTTTCGATCGAATCTAATAGCGTGCAAATTAGATCTGACAAAACAAGTCACATTAAATGAACTATGTGCCTCATATAAGACTTGAAAGTAGATTTGTCCAAACAGTTTGAATTATTGGTTACTGTTTGAAACTGTTGATTTCGGTACATCGGAAAATTGAGCTAAAATAGAATCTTTCGAATCATGGTTACAATTTTGGTTTAACAGTTTCGATTATAATTTCAAAATTGAATTTTCGGTTTAAATATCACCAATTTTGATTTGAACCGCCAATATATATTTATTACTGTATTTTTTATTTTTCTAAAATTTAAAATTATTTAAAAATTGTTAATTTCAATTCAAATTTTATTTAGATATATATCAATTATTTATATATTGTGTAAAAATTATATAAATAATAATGGATTAGATTGTTACCGTATTAAAATTAATAAAAATAATAAATAGTTAAGTTAAATATCAAATAAAATAAATTATAAAAAAATTAGTGTATTAGATAATAATATAATTTAAATTAAATATAATTATATATTAAAAATTTATAAAAACTAACATATAAATATCCAAAAATAATATTATACTCCATGTGTTCCAAAATAATTCACATAAATTAATTTTAGAAAAGCGATATAATTTTAAATTTAGATAAATTTATTTAATTATTTTTGTTTTAAGATAGATGAAAATGGAGAAATTTTGAGTGAATTGATATACGATATTATATGTAATTTAATTAATTAAATTAATTTATATTTATCAAATATATTTTGATTTAATAAATTGTATAAAAATAAAAAATATCAATTTTCATGGAACATATAAAAATTAAAAATATATATATAAAAAATTTGAACCTGTGAAAATATTATTTTTTATATTATTCATAATTTTTTTTTATTAATATTTATATTACTCTTATTTTTATAAAATAATATATAGTATTTTTTTATTATAAATATAATATTCATTTTATTCAAAAAATTTACCCTAATAAAAACATCACACATCTGTGTGCATTCCCCTACCCTTTTGCTGCTCGCCCGGTGCTTAGTGCCCCTATCAGGTTAATAATATAAGTGTGTTTGTTTGGGATTTGAATTTTGAGTTGAGATTTAAATTTGAATTTAAATAATTGAAATTGAAATATAAATAGGTATTTATGCAATAGTGTGAATCTAAAATAATTTTTAGTATAATATAAAAAATAAAAAATAGGTATTTGATTTGATATTTTTGGAAAAAAAAATGAGATAATAGTGTATTTAAAATTCAATCTCCTAAACAAAACACCCTTAAAAATAAAAACTCACTGGTTCGAACCGGCAGATTTCGGTTCAAAAAAATCGACCGACGTGGAACTGGGAACCGGCGATAGCCGTATGAATGTTATATTGTCATGGCCTAAAATTAAAATTAATTAAAATTATTTATAATAAAATTAAAATTAACTTTTTTCTTTTTAATTATTTTTTTATTTTTCTTAAGTAATACAAAAATTAATAGTACATATTTTGATTATATGATGACCGTATTCATATTTTCCACACATTTTTTCTACCTTGACTTGATTAAGTTTAATGTTTAGAATCTTAGCGTCGTTTTGAAAACTGGCAGGCGTATTTATATTTTTTACAAAATAGCCCTACCGACGATTCGACTCCCTCCGCCGCCGGCGACTCTCGTACGGCTCGGACTCCTTCAACCGTATTGGTACTTCATCGTTTTGTTTCTCTCACAATTTTCTTCTTAATTGTTCACTTTCTTGCTCTTGTAATTCGTTATCCTGTATGTACAAGATCCACGATATGCCTCCTCGCGTCCCTCGCTAGTGTTAGATTATATATATATATTATATTATATTGAATAATTTAGGGATTTGATTGTTTCATTTCTGCTAAATTTCTTAGACCTAAGATTTAGGTGCGGAATTTTCGGATTGTGCACAAAATGTTTTATATATTTTGTTGGCATTGTATTGATGTATGGAATTCTCCGCGGGGCTTTCTTTTGGATTTTAATGTTGTCTTTGCGATTTTTATGTTCTAGAACTTGTTGATTTGTGCTCATTTCGAAATTTCTACTTTGGTTAGGACTTAGAGGACTTGGTATGCATATGTGATGCACTCCCGTAATTCGTTGTTGTGAAATAATTTTGTTAGTAAAATTGAATCATATATATTGATGTTTTCTAGCATCCAATTGTTTCCTAGAAACTTAATGAAATTTGTGACAGAAGTTGGGATTGAAGGTTTGTGGGAGTTGCTTTTATGTTCTATTTATCTATTTTGAAGATTCAGGCACATGGTAACAGTCAATCTATACAAATCCATATTTTGTAGGTACTATGTAGGTTGAACTATTGATTGTATGTAATGTGCAGGGAACAAAGTAGAAATGATGAGGCTGCAAACTTATGCTGGAGTCAGCTTATTGGCAACATTGGCTATTATATATCATGCCTTTAACAGTAGATGCCAGTTTTATCCTGCAATGGTTTACTTGTCAACTTCAAAGATCAGCTTGGTCCTCCTCTTGAACATGGGCCTGGTTTTTATGTGTATCTTGTGGCAATTTACCAAAAAAGTATTTCTTGGCTCACTGCGGGAAGCAGAAGTTGAGAGGCTAAATGAGCAGTCATGGCGGGAAGTTATGGAAATACTGTTTGCAATCACTATTTTTAGACAAGATTTCTCAGTTTCGTTTCTTGCCATGGTTACTGCTTTACTTTTGATAAAGGCATTGCATTGGTTGGCCCAAAAGAGGGTTGAATACATTGAAACAACACCATCAGTCCCTAAGCTTTCTCACTTCCGCATTGTTTCATTCATGGGATTCCTTCTCCTCATTGACAGTATATTTCTGTATAATTCAGTCAAATATTTGGTGGAAACCAGACAGGCATCAGTTTCCTTGTTTTTCTCCTTTGAGTAATTTTCTCGGACCATATGATATTTATTTGATCATGTTTTTGCTGAAACTGTTTTTAAATGTTATTGTTCTGGTTTATTTGTTTATGTTAGATACATGATATTGGCGACGACAACTGTTGCAACATTTGTGAAGTATACATTCTACGTCATTGACATGCTTATGGAGGGGCAGTGGGAAAAGAAGGCTGTCTACACCTTTTACTTGGAGCTGGTCCGGGACTTACTTCACTTGACTATGTATATGTGCTTCTTCCTGGTTATTTTTGTGTAAGTAACCACTCAACTCAATTCTTCTACATGAATAATGGCAAAATGCTTAGGTTGTCTTTCTTTTCTCCAGTTCATGCTTATTATTCACCTATTTTGGTGTGCATTCCCATGTACTTCTCTATATGGAATATTTGCTTTTGAAGTTTTTTGTTCCGGTTCAGAGTTTGACTGGTGCCTGTGCCTGTGTGCTCTAGTTAATGACAATGTTTCTACGTATTGTTGTTGTCATGTATATACTTCTGCAAGCTGAAGCATTTCTTTGAAATCTTATATGGGCAACTGATTAGTAAACATAGCTGCGGTTCCCTGGCAAGTGAAGCAATGATGATCTCTGTTTATGAGCATAATTATCACTTCTTTCTTATCAATTCGATTAGTGTTGTTCCATAAATATTTGTGTGGTACTATTAATTTTCCTTTCATCACCCCAGGAATTATGGTGTGCCTCTTCACTTAATTCGGGAGCTGTATGAGACATTCCGTAACTTCAAAATCCGTGTGGCTGATTACATACGGTACCGCAAGATAACTTCAAATATGAATGATCGTTTCCCAGATGCAACAGCCGAGGAGCTCATTTCGTAAGCAGACTTTTACTTGATTGGAACAAGTACTTGGCTTCATCTGATCATTCTCAATTGTTTTTGTTTCCTCTTCCTCATTGTCTAGGAGCGATGTTACCTGCATTATATGTCGTGAAGAGATGACTACAGCTAAGAAACTTATCTGTGGGCATCTTTTCCATGTACACTGCCTTAGATCTTGGTTGGAAAGACAGAACACGTGCCCAACATGTAGAGCACTTGTTGTACCAGCTGAAAATGGAACATCAACTTCTGGATCAACAGCTAATAGTCAACAGCAAGGTATATAATTCTTCTTTTGAGTGCGACTGTGCTGCTTTTCATGTTTTTGGCTTGTTACTAAAATAGAGCTTAATCATGTTGAGGAGATGTTGTGAGGTAAACCCTTAATCAGATTACTTAGTATGCACATCAAATTGACCTGGATAAGGTCTGATAATACTAACGTTTATGTTAGACAAAGAAAGGAACAAGCTCACTTAGGTTTTGTTTTTTTTCATTTTATTTTGAGTCTTTCTTTAAGGTCTTTAGTCCATGTAAATGAACCCATATATATAAGGGTCCATCTAGGTAAAATATAACTAACGGGCTCCTCTAAGTTCAAGAGATTATTAGGTTTTTTATTGAAGACAGCTCCGGCTTGGTACCCAGAGAACTGGTTTTCCTTTGCAAATTTATTATTTGCATTAGGAATAAAGTTTATGTTTTATATTTTACCCTGTGTTCTACCTATTGGTCCTACCCGCCGGATATCAATACTGGAGTAGAACATCTAAGTGACGTGAAAGAATTGGTCGGGATTTTGAGGGAAGAGACCGCTCAAATCCATCTTGACATTACGAAAAGGTTGGAAACCTATGGAGAAAAAACTGCCATATTGATGGCTTAGTGACGATGTGTGAGGAGTTGGTGACGATCGCTGCTATGATAGGTGTCACTAGTGCAGAGTCCACAACTATTGAATGGACAAGATTGAACGAGTCATAAAGGATATGCTTCTTGCAAAGATTATACAACCAAGCATGAATACTACTCTAGTGAGTTCCACAATGTCGCTGTCCCCGGTAAGCTGGCTGGTTTTAGGAGATTAGGACTCGGTTTGGATCAACAAGGGGGAGTTGCATAATCAGTTTTCTAAGTCCTACATTAAGGACAAGGCGGTTTTTAAGGGAGATGGAGTTCTTATGAGGTCAAACAATATCAAAGTTTACATTAGACAAGAAAGTTGATGACTTAAGAGTGGAATTTTATTTTATTTTTGAGTTTTTTATTTAATATGTCTATAGTCCATGTAAATGAGCCCATATATATATAAAGGGTCCATTTAGGTCAAATATAAATAAGGGGTTCCTCTACGTTATAGAAGTTTTTAGATTTTTTTTTTTTTTATTGAAGACAGCTTTGGCTTAGTAGCAGGAAGAATTGGTTTTCCTTGAATGTTTATTCTTCGCAATAAGGTTTATTGTGTTTGTGTTTCTCTGCATTCTATGACTACTTTCTGAAGGTTCATTTGTTGCTTATGCTCCATGCTGTGCATTCTAGTCTTCATTCTATTGCACTTTTCATGGTACATCTGATGCAATGCAGGTCCTAGCACTTCCGGGACATCGTCTCAAGGGTCTGTTAGTGGAGGTGTGGCAAATGGTAATGTCAGTCATCATCAGGCAAGACTTCAAGCTGCTGCTTCCGCTGCCTCTATATATGAGAAATCTTTCGTTTATCCATCTCCTAACACTTTTATGCGGTATGCACTTTTTTTTATACCGTTTAGTACACTTGATGAAATTCGAACAGATGGGAATGCTAGGTTATAAATGATTTTGAGCTTTTCATTTCTGGGATGCATAATAAGGGACATATATCATTTAAGTTCGGGATTATGAATGGGTAGATTTATTCTTAAATCTCCATTCTGTCTTTTTGATATATCCATGAATGATTTCCTGGGTCAGTTGTTTTTCAAAATTTCCCCCCTTTTCTAAACCAGAGCAGACGCTTAACAATTCAAACGCATGCACAGGTCACCTGGATTTGCTACACTTCCTCAGTCACTTCAACATTCTGGAAACACAGTAATGGCAGATCTCGGCAGTGGAGTTTCAAACATGACCTTTTTACAAGAACCTCAAGGTACTTTTGTCCCTTCCCAGTTTCCGGATGAAGATGGTCAACTTGGGGTGGGAAGTGCATCTGTCTCTCAGCATGATTTACAAATAAAACTAATTGAGCTACAGATTGAGGTATTTCCTATCAGATCTGTCTGACCAAGCAATTTTTCTTATTTCATGGGCAAGTTTTTTACCTGACAATATATTTTTTTGCCCCTTATAAATGTCTGTGTGTGAAGATGAAGTTTGAGATGATTGGTGATCTCACTTTTGTCATTCGTATAACGATCCGATTCATGATTAGAGCATCTTATACTCTTTGTCCCCATAAAAACATAATAGATAATTGAATAAATGCAGATCTCAACAATGAGACTGAGGTAGCTGCTACAAAACATGTACTTCCAAAACCATGCATGCTTGCTTTTCCTAGTTTCAAAATATTAATCTGCTCTCGTCATATGTAAATATTATTAGAACCTTCTAATACAAAGTACCTTATACTTTACAACCAGTTTCTACAGCGCCAGCTCAAGCTTCTGCAGTCAAGCAATGAGAAAAAACTAGATCCTGGAACATTTGATATCAAGGGAAAGGCAGTATTGTCATCTTCATCTTCATCCACTGTGAGCTCTAATGTGAGTAGCCATCCAGCAACCACAGACTAATCTTCCAGTCAGAACTACAGCCTAAATCAAGGTTTGTCAACACTTTTCGTTGTCTTGTATTCATATTGGAAACACTTTAAACACTATACCCATATCCAAGAACCCGGCGTAATTTGTGTGCTTGTTGTTGTTCTAGACACCATCACTATGCAAACTTCACGCCCTTCGGTATACACTAAGAATTAGTCCACTCTTGTTTTCTGTCTAGTGTAGAATTTTACCATGCTAGGGTGATTTTACTGCCCTCTGTATTTGAACATTTTGACTTCCTGAAATCGACGGCCCTCTCCCATAAAATGTATGATTTATTCAGAATTCTTGAGCATTATACATACATACTTATTAATTCAATCAGTTCTTTGGAGGTTATGCAGTGCAGGCGCAGCTTTTTTGTTAGTATTATTTTATTTTATTATTATTATTTTTTTCAAAATAGAAATATGGCTGTGATATGTGTTTTGGCAACTGGTGATATGGACTAGTGTGGGCGGCTTTGTTTGGTTTGGTTGATCGTTTGTTTGTGATGTTGTGCTTTTGTACGGATTATTACATATGGTGATGAAAAATGTTTCTTGTTTTTATTCTATATTTGGTTTTACAACTTCTTACACGAGGTCGTAGGGAGTTTGATGGGTGCCTGAAAATGAGAGGTAAACATCTAACGTTTGTTTAGGTGGAAGTGTTCTGGTATTATGAATTGTTTTGGAAATACAATGGAAAATAGTTGTTAGATGTTATTGCATTTGATGCAAAAATAGATTTATGATATGATATTTTTAATAGAAATAGACGTTGAATTTGATATTTTTTGAGAGTTTTTTTTTTTTTTTTGATAAATGTTGACGCGATAATTCCTAAGTTTATATTTTTTCTTTTTCTTTTTTTTTTAAAGTTTAATTTGGAATTTTTTTTATTTTTTTATTTTTTTTATATGACGTGAGAATTCGTAATTTCTAGTATTTTTCAAATTCGTCTTGATAGACTCTTTTGATTGACTTTAAAAAAGTTTGCTTTTAAGAAAATATTAAATATATTTGTATTAGTTTTTGTCTAAAAATGAATGGAAATACCTTTCATTACAAGCATTTTGGGACAATTCCTGTAAAAACAATAATAATAATAATAACAATAATAGAAGTATAAAATAGCACGGGTTTGAATGTGTTGAATATTGGGGAAGAAAAAACTCAAAATATGGTTAACATGTCTACATCCTGGAGGTTTTTATCCAAAGTATCAATTATCACTTTTGTAGCACTAACAATAATTTATTTGTGGTTATGTCTATTTGAGCATGAATTTTAGTAAAAATAAATCATTATTATTAATTTTTTATAGTAAAACAATATAAAATAATATTTTTTGTACTAAAAAATGAAACAAAAATATAAATATATATTTTCTTTTACGACAACTCAAAAAAAAAAAAAACATTTAGATGACTAATAATTTATAAGGCATTTGCCCAACTATATAACCTAAAAATGAAACAAACTAAAATACATCCCAAAAAAACATAACACACTAATAATAGGATATTCATGAAGAACACCTGTACTGTTTTTCGATGACATCTTCACCTAACTTCTCTTGTAAGAGTCTTCTACAATTTTTTGAGAAGTAAGAAACATCGACGATGCTATCTTCTTTCAAAGATATGGAAGCACAATTCAAATCTAATCATGATCTTTGATTTCATAATTTTATTAGATTTCTCAACAAACTTATCCAATGAGATGTTCATGTCTTGATCTTGATCTGTTCATCTAATTGGCCAAAAAGTGTGCAAAAAGCTTGAATCTAATATTATATCTCGAATCTAATATCAATTTCAACAAAATGTATTTTAAGATCTCTTTCGTTCTTTTTAATCAGTGTTTGTTTTGGTTATGCTACGATATATTCGAATGTGCAACTCATATAAATTAAAATCAACATGTTCTAAACAGTTAACAAATGTTGTCTTTTTGCATTATATGTGACATGGTCTGATTTTTGTGCTGATCAATTTAATCAACATGGTTCTTCTGATTTGATTAGGTCAACACAAACTAGCGAGACGGATAACACATATTTGATAAACATAATAATATAATGTACATCACATATTATAACAACACATGATATATTTTCATGTAGTATAATATATATACGACATAATACATGTTTCTATGTGCTACATTATATTGTACTATATATATCAATGCACTGTTTGTCTTGCTGATTTATACCTACAAAATCAAATTAACACCATGATAATTTGATCATATCAACAGGCTAATTGTCGTCATATGTGACCCAAGGCAAAAATCTCATTGTACAATAACTATCTTGGGGGGCATATAAGTAGTAATGGCAGTTTCGGGCTAGTTCGGTGTCATGCAAGACTAGCCCAACTCATTTTTTTTATTCCACGCCAGAGTAGGCCTGGCCCAGTTTTAAATTGGGCTTGAAAGCTTAAGCCCAGGCACGGCTCGGTTCAAATTGTGCCATAGAGTGCCGGCTTAAATTTTAAAATATTTTTATTTTTAATTTTTTTTTGCACAATTTTTTTTATTAAAAATAAAGTATGTTAATTTAAATAAATACAATTAGGATATAAAAGATATTTTTATTGATAATTAAGAAATTTATATTAAATATATATTAAAATTTTATTTGATAAATCGTGCATGGCCAGGCATGGTCCGATGCGTACAGGCGCCGGCACGATCCGAATTTTAGACCGTGCCTATCTCACCCGGCCTAAAAATTTTTCCAACATATTTTTTTAAGTCTAAATACTTATTTTTTATACCGTACCGTGCTCTAAACAGATTTTCATACTATGTAAATTTTCGGCAGCTTTACATGTAGAGTCATTTCACTTGAAGGATTGTATTATAATATCTATATTATTTAAATGGATTAAAATCAATGGACTAACTAATATAATATTTATTTTGTATGATTAAATATTAGATAAATTATATTATGTTTAGCGTGTTTGATTATATGGTATATTTATTTTTTCTTACAAAAAATACTCTAATGTTATCAATAATTATTGTAATATAATTTATTTTATATTTTTTTCTTTTCAATTATAGCAATATAATATATAACAATATTAAATTTTAATTGAGTTATTGTCATGAAAAAATATGTATATATATAATTTGATATATTTATATTATTTATTAAATATATTTAATTTTGTACTCAAATTTATAAATTAAGTTTTAGTAACATATTTTATAGTATTCTGATCATTTATGTTATTGATTAAAAATTTTAAAAAATATATATAATTTACATTTAAAATAAAATTAAAATATATTAAACAAAAAAATTATTATTATATTTATATAAAATATTTCTAAGTATTTAAAAAAACGATTAATTTAGATAATTTAATAAGTAGAATTAAAAAATACTTCTATCAGGAAGTTTGATTTTATTAATAATCTAATAAATGAGTATAATTATATTGTAGCATACTTTTAATTATACAGAACTCTAATACATTAAAAATAAACATTTGATTAGGTCGATAAAACTCCTCTTCAATCATATCAATGATAGTTTCTTCAAGATGATAATCCAAATGTCTCCATCAATCAAATATGACTTTTTGTATTGGCAAGAAATATTTGGAAGAATCAACATTGACACTATTTGATAGACATATTTATTTCAATGTAGGGTCGTTGACTTTAATTAATAGTAGATCCATTTTATTGTTTATGTTTATTATATGTAGAATTGTTCAATGAACCGAGTAAATTCGAATATTTGGTGTTCGAATTTGACTTGAATATGTTATCATTAAAGATTTGGCTCAGTTCGTTTATAAATTTGGACTGAAATAGTGGTTCAAGTTCGGCTCGCAGAACTTGAATTCGAACTTGACTTGAATTATTATTAATTTTTTAATGCATATATATTTATTTTATTAAAATAATAATAGTTCACTAACAATATAAATTTTTATTCAAAAAAATAAACAACTACAATAATCGACGAGTCAAAGATTCATGAATAAACCTGAAAATATTTTTAAATGTTAATAAAAGTCTTAGGGTGTGTTTGTTTGGAGGATTGGATTTTAAATATACTATTCATCTCATTTTTCTTCCCAAAAAAACATCAAATCAAACATCTATTTTTCATTTTTTATATTATACTAAAAATCGATTTTACATTCAAAACATCACATCGACATATATTTATATCACATTATACAACTATTCAAATTCAAAATTTTTACTATTCAAATCTCAATTCAAAATCCAAACCCTCAAACACATCCACCCTTAATAAAACTTTTAATTTAGCAAGCAACACTAGTGATCTCATTTTTTTTAAAAAATGTTATTTGCAATCTATGGACTTCAAGCATAAAATTTTTTGTAAGTTTCTTGAGCATTTTTCATTTGTAATAAAAATAGAGAAACAAAAGAAAAATTTTCCTCCGTCCCATTTGAAAGGGCACTTTGCAGTTTTATAGTAGATTAAAAAATAATAATATTTTATTGATTAGTGGAAATATGTTAGAAGTTTTAAAAAATTTTCCTTTGACTTGATGTATAAAGTAATGGTTTGTGTATATTTATAATTTAAATAAAAGTTAAAATCAATTTGATATTAGTATGTGATTACTTTTACTAGAAAGAAGAATTGATACTTTTGAATGGGGCGGACAAAAATGATAAAACAAAATATATATTTTGAAAATTTAAGCATGATATAATTCATAAATTTTTAATTCAAAGAAATAATGCACACAATTATTTATCAATTATATGTTATTTTTTTAAATAAGTACGGAGGCGATGCCGATGGAATCGGTACATTTGATCCCCACGCCGCTGCAACGGCCGAAAGGGCTGATCCTCAGGGTCATGGAGGAGGTGAGGCTGCCCCCAAGGTATACTCGGAGCTGGTGCGGATGCCCCCAAGTGATCCCCGGAGTTGATGGGGCGACCGGAGGTGTTGAAGCCGTGGTTGGTCATGCCCCCCCAAAGATCAGTACCTCCTCCTCCGACAGGAATGTTTCCTTGACCGTTCACCTCCGTGATGTTGGCACGCTTACGCCACCAAACAAATGATTGTTGTGCCATTGGGAAGTTGCTAGCGTGTACCTACTGCACCCGGAATGTCCTTGATATGCCGGTGGTCTTACAGTGGTCTGCCCTAGGACCGCAAAGGTTCTTCAGCCACTGTCTCATCCGAGGGGTTATTGTTTTCGTTTCTTTTGTTTGGTATGGTTACGTTACCATACTGGAGCGTCGTAGGGGGATATCTGGATGTGCCCCCCTTGCTGCCATTGCTGGAAGAGCATTTTCATCATTTCCGGGGTTGGTCACCGGTGTTTTGCCCTTTCGCAGCTTCTGCTCTCTCGTCCATGTAATTTCGTTTCGGATGATGGGCTTGAAAATGTTGGCAAAATACCGAGAGAACGTCAATGTTGAGTCGTGGAGGGCATATCGGATTTCCCCACGAATTTGATCTTGGAAGTTTCACTGGTGATTTCCTCTTCCTTTGACATCTTAACTATCTCCAGCGATAGTAATTTGCGACTCCTCAGTTACATAAAAAGTGCAAGACTCGTCGGAGTCCCACTAGATGTGCCAATCTGTCGTCGCTGAAATTCGTCGATAGCGGCCCAAAGGGTTTAAGCCAATCGAAATTGACAATAATTGGGTTTTCCGGCCTACTCAAAAAAAGTATTTGAGCTAAGTTTCGAGCAAAAATAAATTGGTATAAAAATTTGCAGGAATTGAAATACTGGATTGAAAAAGAAAAGTTAAGAAAATTTGCTCAAGAAATGAATTAAATTGAATACAAGAATTTATGAACAAAAAAATCAAATAGAAAAGCAATAATAATGCACGAATAAAAAGTAGAAAGAAAAGAGTTGAATTTGCTGTTCTGGATGAGATGTGTTTATCTCTCCTCTCAATCCTTTGCCCCTTTAAATACTTGTGAATTTATTTTGTTCCTCAATTCTCTTTACTTATTCATGATTTTAAGAACCAACTTCTTATTTCTCCCACTGCTTAATCCCATTTTTTTCTCAACTTTCCAACTCTCTTCAATGTTATCTTATTCAAATTAGATATGTCTTCATCCTGAATAAGCTTTAGGACTAATCCAACTCTCATTTGTTGTGGGCCTCCGACTGGACTGAGCTTCTTCGTGGGCTAGGTTGCGCTCTTCATTTGAAAATTAGGGAGTAACAATATTATAATCTTTCAATAGTTTTGCAAAAAAAAATAAAAATAAAAATAGAAAATACAGAAAAATAAAAATAAATAAATAAAATTCCAAATAAACACCCTTTTAATTATTTTTTTAATTCAAATATACTTCCATAATCTTCTAAATTATGCTTATTTTTTCTTTTTTGGTTTGTCTACTTAAAATATTTTTGTGTTCTTATTGAATAAAAAATTATACTATTTATTGTAAAAAAACAAAAAATAAATTTTTGGTTTCATTGTAAACAATTTGTAATACTCCGAAGTTGGGGCGATGCTAGGCCAACTTCATGTCAATAATGTGCATATTTTTTTTCGAAAGTTCTACTAAAAGAACTCTAGAATTAAACGCGATGGAAGGACTCGGGCCGACCTTTGGGGACAGTTTACAATCTCGACACGCCTGACTTTGTGTGGCTTGCGGACCGGAGTGTCACAACAATACTAATTAATTTTGATTTTACTGAAAAAAATTTATCAATTTTTGTCTCATAATAACTAACATGAATTGAACACGGACACATTGAATGGCTCAAAAAATTGACGAAACTTTTAAGATAATCAACACAGCCGTATTGAATCCAACGTATTCATATTTAAACATGACCACGACCTTATTAATTCAACATAGACATGTTCAAACATGAGCATGTTCATTGTGTTGTTCGAAATCATTTTAGCTATTACGAGACCAAAATTATTTAATTTTAATTGGAATAAGACTAAAATTAATACAAATAAAAATAAAAATAAAAAATCAATAGAACCAAAATTAATTATTTTAATTTAGAGCAGATAAAAAAATAATTTTTTTCCTTCAAAATATTTACTATTCTAAAAATACCAAAATACTCTAAAAACACAACCAAACAAACCTAAATTAATCGAACACTATAAAATAGACTTGCCAACGGTTCAAACGTTTAAGAATCATCTTTGAACCGCCCGTTTATTATTAATTTAATTTTTGATTTTTTTTTTCTAATTTTTAGAATTTTATTTTTATGATTAATTTTGATTTTCGATATTTTTTGTATTATTATGAAAAATATATAAATAATCTTTAAAATATATAAATCAATTATTTATCAGTTTATTAATTAAAAATTAAAATTAAATTAATTAAATAACAATATAAAAAACAATAGTTTAAAATTATATAATGAAAAATTATTAAATTTAAGATATAAATATACAAAAATAGTATTATATTATTATTTGTCTATATATTCATAACTATTTATTAATACTAATATTATTTTATTTTTATAAAAAATATAATATTTAATTATAATTAAATTATTAATATTATAAAATATCTATTTTATTTAATGTGTATACCCTAATTGCAACACACATCCACAACAGAATGGGCAAATACCCAAAAAAAAAATAATGATGATTGAAGAAGGAACAAAGAAATTAAGCATTATTTGGAAGTGCTGTCTCTGCGTTGGTGAATTTTGGGAATGAACAGAGCATATTCTCCTCACTTGTCGTTGTCGATTACACCTTTGCACTTTGTAGCCTTCACCCGTCACCCTTCACCGTCGTTCTCTCCGCCGGCGACTTTATCATCAACGCTCTTTAAATCACAACATCACAAATCCCCACATTTTGTGTTAATTCCTTTGCCACAGGATAGATATGGCTTTCGATGCTCCAGGGGAGGGAACAACAACCTGCGCCGCCTGGATTCGCCGACCGGACAACGCGCGGTTGGTCGTCGTCGGAAAATCGACGCTATCTTCGCTCGAGATTTACTCCTTCGATCCTAAAACCACTGCTCTCTCAGCTTCGCCCAAGGTTGTTATTGTATCATTGCCAATTTTATTTTTATGTTCTCAATCCATTCGATTTGAATAGTTTCTGTATCATTGATTGTGTCAATTTCTACAAATTTATCATGCAATTGCGTCTGTTTAATTAGGGGAAATATGAATTCGAAGAAGGAATCATTCCGGTGAAAATTGCCGTGCATCCGAGTGGAGACCAATTAGTTTGTTCCACCAACACTGGAGATTGCAAGTCAGTATCTAATTGTGTCTAGGGAAAGCTCTCATTATCGAATTGGATATTCACGTCTTGGGTTTTATTATCTAGTCCAAATTTGCAGACTGTTCGACATGTATGGTCGGGAAGACAAGATGAATCTTACTGCAGCAGAGCAGCTTCCGCTGCAGGGAATTGGTCGGCAAAATTGCATGGCCTTTAGCTACGATGGAACGAGGTTTGCTACTGGTGGAGCTGTAAGATTTCCTAATGAGATGTCAATGCTTTTTGTGTATCTGCAGTTATGTTCATTCGAGGTTATGCATAATTATAAGATCAAATCTTTCCATCAAATCTTTCCCCCTCTGTTTGAAGGACGGATCGCTTAGAATATTTGAGTGGCCTAGCATGCGTATCATTTTAGATGAGCCGCGAGCTCACAAGTCATTTCAAGACATGGATTTCAGGTAGAATGAGCTTATGTGCATCTTTGAGATTATTTTTCAGTAATTCACTGAATCTGTATGCCAATTTCTTCTACCTTCAGAATTTACTGTATATAATTTAAACTAACATTCCGGACACTAATGATCTAACACTTTTTATGAGTAACAAAGTTGCTTATTCTGGAGTGGAATAATAGTGTCTTCTTTGATTTGTTTAGATGCAAAATTCAAACATTTCGATAGAAGATTTTGGAGTCGTGAAACATTTGAAAATAGTAAAAAGTTAAGTATTTGATGAGATTGTTTTGGAATTTTAGAGTTCAGATGCAAAATTTAAATGTTTAGATGGAAGATTTGGAGTTTGGGAACATTTTAGAAATAGTAAAAAAGTAGAGTACTTGATATGATATCTTGGGATGTGATGTTTTGGAACTTCAGAGTTAAAAATGTAAAAATAAATGTGTAGATAGAAGATTTTGGAGTTTGGAAACATTTTAGAAATGGTAAAAAATTAGAGTATTTGATATGATATCTTGTGATGTGATGTTTTGGAACTTCAGAGTTAAAGATGCAAAGTTAAATGTGTAGATAGAAGATTTTGATGTTTTGGAATAGTAAAAGGTTAAATATTTAATGTGATATTTTGGAACTTCTGAGTTAAAGATGCAAAATTTAAATGTTTAGATAGAAGATTCTGTAGTTTTGAAATATTTTAAAAATAGTAAAAGGTTGAATATTTGATGTGGTGTTTTGTGAGAGGAAAAGAGATATTGATGTGATGGTTTTTTTGAAAAAATATTTATTGATAAATAATATCAAAACTTTCAAAGTGTATATATAAACCAAAATTCTTGGTTCTCAATATTGGTCTCTGCAGTTTGGACTCAGAATTCTTAGCCTCGACATCAATTGATGGTTCTGCGAGAATATGGAGTACAAATGATGGTGCTCCAGTTACAACATTGACGAGGAACCCTGTCTGTTCTATGTATTTTCAAATTCATAATGCTATTTCTCCTAATGCTTGTGGATTGAATGTTCAATTTCTACATTGCTAACTTTGTAGGATGAGAAGATTGAACTTTGTCGATTTTCTAAAGATGGAACAAAGCCATTTTTATTTACTTCAGTTCAAAGAGGTACACTTTGTCTGCATTGCTTTTCAAGAATGAAGTCATCCATAAAATTCTATTTTGTTAAGTTGTTGGTGAGTTGAAGTATGATTGTGTCTGCTAGGGACTAAAGCACTGACTGTTGTTTGGGATATAAGCACATGGAAAAAAGTCGGGCACAAGCGTGTACTCGGAAAGCCTGCTTCAATAATGTCCATTAGTTTGGATGGGAAGTATCTTGCTCTGTAAGTGCTGTTTTTCTGTCTCCTGAATCCCCTTTTTATCAAACATTTTAGCTTTAAAAAGAAGATATTATCCTTGAATCTTACTCTTTTCTAAATTGTTTTTGTATGGTAGTTTCTAAGAATAAAATGGACATATTTGTAACAGTAATAACTGGATTGAGGCTGATTCTTTGATGTATATTTTTTCTTTTTTTTTGGAGTTCTATTTTGTTCTTTTGTTTGTTTGAGCAGTAATTTTGATGTGATATTCTATAAGATAAAATACTATATTTTTAGAGAAAATAACAACACTGCCCGCATAAATAGGTTCACAAAATTCCGAGCTGCGAGTGTTGTTTTTTTATTTTGTTCTCTTATAGTCTGTCATTGCCTGTTTTCTTTGATTGCTTTTGGCAGATTTTGCCAAAAGCCATGTGATGAATAGCTGTTATCCTTAAAAAAATAAAATTTAGCTAACTTCAAAAACTTAGGGGGAGCAAGGATGGCGATATATGTGTAATCGAAGTGAAAAAGATGGTGGTTCGCCACTGGAGCAAGAGGCTGCACTTAGGTTCAGATATTGAAACATTGGAGTTCTGTCCCCGCGAGAGGTGAAACGAAAAATAATTACAATTGTTCCTCCAAAAATGGAGGAATATTTTTTAAAATTATGTTTTAGTCCTTAAATTTTTTTGTTGTTATACCGATCAAATAATAATAATAATAATAATAATAATAGTTACTAATTGCTATTGAGTGTAAAGAAAATAATGTCTTCAACTTATTGGTTTGTTTGTTTTGACACTTTTCAGAGTAATACTTACTACTTCTAATGAATGGGGAGTAATGGTCACAAAACTTACTGTCCCTGCCGATTGGAAAGGTTTCCTCTTCTTCTCTTTATCTCTCACTAAATTGAGTATAGATTAAATGTTAACCTTCATCTTACTTGCTTACAAATGCAGAATGGCAAATTTATTTGCTGCTCTTGGGACTGTTTTTGGCATCAATTTTGGCATTCTACATCTTCTTCGAGATTTCTGACTCATTTTGGAATTTCCCCCCTCCCCCACCAAGGGAACAATCTACTAGAATCGATGTTGAAAGCATTTTTTCGCAGTCGGACCAAAGTCCATGGGAGCCTTTAGACCTCTAATACTTCTGGTAATTTCTACTCTTTATGATCCTTGTGCAGAAGTGAAAAGTGGGGAAAAAAAAAGGTGATTCGATTCATTTACTTATGCAGCATTGTCTTGGCTTTTACATGAGAAAAATAAGGTGCGCAAATTGCGCTGGTCGGAAAACATTTTCGACACAAGTTTATAGTTTTTGTGATATGTTAGCATTGCTTAGAACTTGTCATTATTTTTTGTGACATGTAGAATTTGTTCACTTGTTATTTTGTTTTGTTTTCTTTCTTATTTTGTTTTTTCATTTGGATGGCACCATGCATTTACTATGCTCTCAAGATTTAATCTCTCCTTAATAAGAAAAAATTGCTTATTAATCACTTGTTTGAAAAGTTATCACACTTTTATGATTTAAAATCGGCATAAAACTCATTCTAGTGTGTTGTTTGCGGGAGTTTTGGATTGTAATTATTATTACAAAAAATTTCTGCTCAAAAATATTTTTTTTATTTATATTATTAAATTAAAATTTAATTTAATATTTAAAATATACCATTTATAGGACAATCAAATAATTATTTAAATCCAAAATCAAAACCTAATACAAAAATATTTTTAAATATGGCATAAAATCTCTTATAAGTTCCACAAGGCTCCTACATTTCTCAAAAAACATTGCATAGATCTATATGCAATTTGTCTAAGGAGTGAGTCATAAGCAATTTTCAGTAAATAAACATATGTAATAATAATACTCCCTAGCCACCGGAATTTAGGTAAAGTATAATTAGTAAGTAATTAAAAAATATATTAGTAAAAATAATTATTATTTAATAAAAATAATTATAGATTAAGATTAAGACAAGTAAATAATTTAATTAAAATTAAGAAAATTATAAAATTTAAAATGCATAAATTATGTGAGACAGACGAAAATAAAAAATAGGTATAAATTATGTGGGACAGAGGGAGTAATAAATTAGAGAATCATTAAAACATATCAACAAGCTTGTACACGCATTTTTCCTTAAACCCCCTGATGAATGGTATCATAATGAAAAGCCCAAGAAGTTCCTAACACAACAGCAAATATCGTTAGAGATAAAGACCAATCATTATAATATATATTACATAAATCAAGCTTACATGAAAATTGTTCTACAGGTTGGAAAATTCTTGCCACCTAATCGCGATCAGCTTCTTCGATTTCTTCATCCTCTTGCACGCCTCGTAGATAGAGGACATTGTTACATCTGCAGCCAAGATACAACCAAAACCCAAAAATGACAAGATACGCAACCAAAAATGGCTTTGGTTTTTGATGCAGCCAGTATAACTTGTATCCTCACCCCCTCTTTTACACAAATTGTACCCCAAATAGCTAATTGTTGGATACGACCAAACAAATCAATGAAACCATTTTATGGGAGATGGATATAGGCCCATTTTACATTATTGACTCAAGACACATTAAATAAATAAAAGACCCAAAAATAAATTAAAATAAAATAAAACAGAAGCTCCTTCTATCAACCTTGTGCCACAATCAACCCTAAGTAAACTTAGGCCCCTTTTTTCTCATCTAAAATCCTTAGGGTGTGTTCTTCCAATCAAATTTTTTCGACACACTATCCGAATAATATTACAAAAGAATACAAGATATACATACATCCAAATAATACACATAACATATATATATATTCTGTTCACTCTAAAAAAGTCAACAATCTCATACCTAACATAGAAAATACTTCAAACTAAACAAACACGCCCTAATATGACCGATTCTCATATCAAATTAACAATATCATTTTTATTTATAGTTCAAGAAATAAAACTCCTTTGAAACTGGTCTGACTATTAACACTTTTTATATCAAAACAAATCAAAAAAAATTTAAAAAGTGATTACTCATTGCCATTGATATCAATAAACACAAATTATTCCAAATACACATAAAGGGAACTTCTAATTTGCATAGCAAGCATGGAAAATATAGAGATGGGCCTATAACTCGGTGTGCATTTCATAATTGCTTAGGGATATCAAGAACGATAAAGGATGAGGAACGTAGATATTAAGAAAGACGAAAGCAGACCGTCAAAGTACCTGATCAAGATCTCTCCAAGACTTCCAGTGGACTGCCCGTCAACATATTCTTCAGCATTTGCAAGCTGCAAGATTTTACAAATTTCATATTATGCCATAAATTAATTATTAAAGTAACAACATTCTATCTTCGTTTCAGTAACAACATTTTACATGCTCACAGGGCTAGACTTATAAGACCAGTATATTGAGGTAAATTTACATTCACAATTCCTTGTAAAATAAAGCCATTAGAAAGCAATCCACCGTATTTGTTAAACAGAATATATTAATGCCCTGTAGGAAGTTATTTGGTAACCTTTATTATATCAATGTATTCATTTATTATTATTATATATCATTATTATTGTTATTATTATTTTACAGAGTTATTTGGTTAGATCTCCTGGTATTCTTAAACACTCAATATTTCACAAGGAATTTGCAATTTACCCATTTATTAAACAGCTTAAAAACACCTCATCATACATAATATTAGATTCAAAGCTATCAAAGGGTTTGAACCCAACATATCTCACAGAAGTGCATATACATACACATGTATAACCGACGATTGTACAAACTATTAACTTCAAACTAGAGAATGAAATTTTCATGTGGAATTATGGCAGGTTCTAAAACTAACTACACACATAAAATTATGCATACAGTCAAAATTAGTAATATGTTTAGCATACAATAAAGAGTGAAAGACATTCACTATGATCACTACGAAGGCTCATAAATGCGAGTTTTTTCCAGGTTTAAATGAAATGTTAGGAATATCAGCAACGTCCTTATAAACTACAAACGATCTTGCAAGTTCTACTCTACAATTCAATAATAATAATACAAGGTGCACAGAGATAGACTTTTTGTACCAAGTACCTGTAAATTCATGTACGAGTCCACAGACACAAGAAAGCCTGGAAACAAAGAAATAAGGGCAAACACAAAGTCATTATTAAATATAAGGAACAGGAAAACTAAACAAATATACTTAACAGATTTGGAATCTGAGATAGAGACACAAGAGACCAATACCTTTGTATTCCATCCCCCATTTGAGTTTAACCATCACAGGCTTCCCAGTCAAATTGTTCAAGAAAGGCTTTGGGTTAACAGGAACAGTCTGCAGTACAACACACAATAGCTTTTACAAAAGATTGATTGCAAATGCCAAAATGGGGAATAATTTGTAATTTGTGTGACATATCCAACCATTGGGATACAGCATGTTAGCACTCAGTTGTTCAAAAATAAAAACTTAATCTAAGGTAGAAGAAGAATATATAAGATATGATTTATGAGTCCTGCTTTACATGTGAAAAGGGGACTACCTCACTAAGGATAACAAGATTCGAAAACCATTATCTATATTAATTTTTTTAAACTTTCCTTCAAAAATTGATTGGTTAACTTTTAGGTCTTAATCCCTTCCTGTTTGCCCTTCACCAGTGCAACTTTATCCCAAACCAGTCTTTGAAATATACTTCTTTCCCCAAACAAAAACATCATACCTCAATTCTGACTTATTATTTCGTTATAAATTCAAATTCAAATGTGTATTATATCCCATGCGTAAACTGATTTAAATATGATACACACACCAATAAATATTCATTAACCCTTGTTCTATAACCTCATTCAGAAAATACAGAAATACTAATAAAACTTTACAGCAAAATTACAAATTTTCATATCTGTAATTTACAAGAATTGCACCCAAACAGACAATTAAATGCAGTAAGGGCAAACAGTAAATTTCTCCAGTCTTCTGAATTTTCAAAAAGCATTAAAAAACTAATTCAATTACATTCCCCAAGATTTGAGCCCTGAAATTGCTACAAGTTAGAGCACATAGCAAATGAAGTGAACTGATAAAATTTTGTGGCTTTGCATTAGAATGTCTATCTAATAGTGAAAACATATCAACACCAACTCATAAGCAATGACTAAGTCGACGACGAGTATTCACAAAAAAGAATGGAATTATATCCGATGGGAAATAGTCACATCCCCGCTGAGAATACGATTAGTCCAAATAAGGTGCAGCACAAGAGTATCCACATTCCAACAGAAAACCCTAAAATTCCATACTTTACTCACAGTTCTAATTCTAATAGAGAAATCATACACAACTGACATAAATTAAAGAGGACAATGATTTCTCTAATTGCTGAAATAGGCAGAAGTATCAAAAGTTCACATTCACACAGAATTGATCCCAACCATATATCAACAGTAAATACTAATGCAATTTACACTTAATTGTTACTTTCCAAAGCACATATGTCTTCCAAAGCTTAAGCGTGAATCGAAACCCCCAAGATAGGCCAACCAATCCCACATGCCAATTTTATTCTCAATCATAACGCTGAAAGCAGAAATTAAACTGAAAAACCTAAACAACGAAAAAAACATTCGATTCAACCCCCAATCAATGTGCTAATATTGGGCATTTCAATCAACGGCGTTTCATCATTGTGCCTTAGTATATCAAACCAGGCTTAGATTAACTAAAGAACGAGCGCATAACCGAAATGGAACAAAAGAACGAACTTACAGCCATGGATCGAAGCAACTTTCGGATATGGAGCTAGTCCTCCCTGACGTTGGAAGCCAACGGCAACGGCAACGTCAAATGGGTGTAGGGTTTTCGCGCTTCACTGCGTGTTTGGGAGAATATATTCACGTGTTTCGCATCAGGCCGGGCCCAAATAAATAGTCTTGGCCCAAAAATAATTCTAAGTTTTTATTTAATATTTTTGGATAAATTTATTTTCTTATCTTGTTATTTGGATAGATTTTACATGACTGTTTGTTTTATATTTTTTGTGCATAATTTTCTATAATATTATAAAAATATATATATTAACACTCATATATATATATATATATATATGATATACTTCCTCCGTCCAAACAGTCCAAACAAAAACTATAGTAAGTAAAAATAATGTAACGATATTTTTGGTATAAAAATAACCATGTGATGTAAAGTAGAAATATTTATGAAAAAAAAAAAATATTTAATAAAACGGTTACTGAATAGAAATATGTATAGTGGAACGAGGGAATACATATTTATTTATCCCTCTCTCTCTACACATAGTGTATAGGGTTTATTTTTTGGACAAAAGATCCCATGGAAATATATATATTTACCTATTTATAAAAAATTTATAACTAAACACAAAATATTATTTTTTTATATTATTGATAAATTTTCATATTAACATAAAAACGCATTTGTCTAAAAATACAAAGTTAACACATGTTCCAAGTTGATTCTTTTATGTTTACTTATTTGTTCAGAAAAACGCCGTGCTTGTTTGGGGATTGAATTTTAAATACATTATTTATCTTTTTTTAAAAAAAAAAAAAAAAATCAAATCAAATACTTATTTTTTATTTTTTATATTATATAAAAAATGAATTTTACATTCAAAACATCACGTCAATGTCTGTTTATATCTCATCATACAACAATTCAAATTTAAAATTTTTATTATTCAAATTCCAACTCAAAATCCAAATCCCAAACAAACACACCCATGATGCAACATTAAGGGGACGTTTAGTACGGAGAATGAAATTGCAAATAAATGGAATTGAATAGAGAATGAGAATTAATTCTTTTGTTTAGTACAACAGAGAATTCAGTTGAAAAATATAAAAAAATAATATAGCTATATTAATGGATAAAAAAAAGAATAAATGATTAACCGGATAAAAAAGAAAAAAAGTTTTAACGAATAAAAATTAATGAAAAATATTTTTGGTGACTTTTTTTTTTAAAAAAAAATTATAAATTATATACGATGTGTTTTAAGATTATATTTTAGTACAATTTCTTAAAAGATCGTAAAAATTAAATAATTTAACAATAAATTGATTTGATTTTTGTAAAATTGAAATAATATAATTTTTAAAAAAAATTATAAAAATTAAATAGTAAAAAAAAATTAAAAAAATATAGTGCAACATCATTTCTCTCTATTTCTCTGCATATAGTAGAGAAATAAAAATAGAGAAATATAAATAATTTATTTCTTTAGTTCCATTTCTCTTACTCGAACAAATAAGATAAATAAGTCATTTTTCATTTATCTTGTCTCATTTATCTTATTTGTTTGAGTAAGACAAATGCAACTCAAGAAATAAATCATTTCTATTTATTGGAATCAACTTCATTGCATTTTTCAAACAAACACTGTGGCCGCTGTGTTTGTTTGTATATTTTGAATCCAATTTATTTATGAGATTGCCTTGTTTAGTTAGCAGAAAGTGTATGCACTTACCAAAATTTTTGGAAAGTGCATGTAAAGACAAATATCAAAGTACCTACAGAGGCAGTTTCGTTCATGAGCTTGGTCCGATTTAATAGAATTTGAATTTTAAAATTTCAATAAATTTACGTTTAATTGAAAATAGATAATGAAATTTAAAGTACTTGGAATTTTAAAATCTCGTAGGAATTTTTTAATATTAGGCTATCCCTATTAATTTTAAATCTCAATCTTATTGCATTTCAATATTTACTTTTATTCCTCTTTATCTATTAAAAAAAAAAAAACTCTATTTCTTTTATATTATATATTTATATTTATATTGAAATTTATTTTAAAATATGACAGAATTTATGATCTTATTATATCTATATATCCTTTTTCAAATCATGATCTTATTATCTAACCAAATGCTATCTCATTCAAACACAAAACATTTCAAATTTCTAAAGCTAAGAGCACTTTAAGGAATTTATTTATTCATTTTCTAAAATTTAAAATAGCAATGATATAAAACAGGCAAACTTTTGGTAAAATAGTTATGTAAGCTCTAATTTTGAATAAAATTAAATACTAAATTTAATATATTTTTTTTAAAAAAATAGTAGATAAATAGAAAGAAACTCTATTAAATTTTATCTTATAAATTTATTTTTATTTTTTTTTTCTTTCACTCCTCTATCAAATTTACTCTGTTACTATATTTGAAAAAATTTAACCACCTTTAATTATTATTTTTGATTCAATATTTATTTATAATAAATTTAATTAATTTTATTACATTTTCTTTTTATTTTTTAATACTAACTAAAATTTTAAAAATGCTTATAACTAATTTTTTGTTTTTTAATAAAATATTTATTTTTTTAGTCCTTAAACCTAAATGAGTTAAATATGAAGGACATTAAATACTTATTACATAATTAATTAATTTTTTTTAAAAAAAATTATGAAATTACCAGTAATAATATATAGGAAAAAGTTGGAGGCTATGTAATTCTCACTCCGTTCCATGTAATATGAGTGTATTACTGTAGACACGGGAATTTAGGTAAAGTATAATTAGTAAGTAATTAAGAAATATATTAATAAAAATAATTATATATTAAAATTAAGATAACTAAATAGTTTAATTAAGATTAAAAAAATTTAAATTTTAAAATATGATTAAAGTGTATAATTAATTTTCCAAAAAAAGAAACGACAAATTATGTAGGACGGACGAAAGTAGAAAATAGGGACAAATTATATGGGACGGAGGGAGTACCATTTATTGCTAAAATAATTGCATTTTGAGATTTTTTTAATTCATTTTGGAATTCATTAAAATGGATCTGATTTGATTGCATACATTAATTGATCAGTTGATCATAATTTTTGAATTTAAATTTAAAAACGTGGATTAGTTTAACTGCATCATCGATATTTATAACTTATAATTTCAACTCTATTTAATATTTCATGATTGAACTTAATTGTTTTGACGTTTGATTCATGTATTTTTTATTTTTTTTATTTTTATAAAATAATATTTCTTTTTGAATTATTGTATTTTTATGAGTTGATAATACATATATATTAGCGGGAAGACCCACGGTGCAATTAATAAAAAAAATTACTACTTCATATCATTTATTTCAAAATAAATTATTATAGAATTTTTATTATTAATTTTATATTTATTTTAAAATATTTTAATAAGTTAGTGTTTTGGGATCCCAATTTTATGGCTGCACAAAAAAAAAAAAAACACAACAAAATAAACAGTTTAGAAAAAATCAAAAAAATCTAAAAATTATAAATATATATAATATTATCAATAAAAAAAAAATTATCAAAAAAGTATTTGGAATTCCAACTTTATGCTGCGCAGAAAAAACACAACAAAATTTAGAAAAAACCAAAAAAATCTAAAAATTATAAAAATATATATATATAAAAATATTATCGATAAAATTTTTTTTATCTATTTGGAATTTCAACTTTATGGCTGCACAGAAAAAAACAACCAAATTTAGAAAAAACCAAAAAAATCTAAAATTTATAAATATATATATAAATATTATCAATAAAGAAAAATAGCAAAACAACTCAATATTATCAATAAAAAAAATTTATCACAAAAATATTTGGGATTCCAATTTTATAGTTGAGCAGAAAAAATACAACAAAATAAATAATTTAGGAAAAACCAAAAAAATCTAAAAATTATAAAAATATATATATATATTATCAATGAAGAAGAATAACAAAACAACTCAATATTATCAATAAAAAAAATATTATCAATAAAAAAAAAATTGTCACAAAAAAATATTTGATATTCCAATTTTATGGTTGCGCAGGAAAAATAATTTAGGAAAAACCAAAAAAAAATTAAAAATTATAAAAATATATATATTTTTTTTTATCGATAGCAAAACAACTCAATATTATTAATAAAAAAATATTATCAATAAAAAAAATTATCAAAAAATAACAGCATCAATTATAATAAATTTCAATATTTTATTCTCCAGCATTACCATTCCCTCACATATCTTCTCTTCTTTCTTCTGGCAGCAACAGATGAATAGTGCTCAACGGATATCTATATATATATAAATCAGTTTTCATCTACTAACGTTGAAGCCACCATTTCACTATTTTAAAACAGTAATTCACATCATTTATAATTTATTTTGATAATTAAAAATAATAATAAACTCTAAATTTAAAAATAAAAATTAAAAAACTGCAATTTAAAAAAAAAAAAATTCTCAAAATTTTGAGATTGCAAAATTACAAAATTTTACTAAAAATGAGGTCCACGCTTGAACTCTAATATATATGTATATTAATATTTTTTAATAATATTTATAAAAAATTATTTTATTGAGAAATACTTATTGAACATACTGATATATTATTTATAAAATGTTGCATTCACACTACTTTTTAAATATAAAAAATCATTTTTTAAAAACCAAATATATTTCATTATTTGCCGAACAATTTTCTTTTTACGTAATTCTTAATATATATTATTATATATTCTTTCTAAAAATAATAACATTTAACACAAAATATTATTTTTGTATATCATCGATATTATTCTCTATATTTCACGTAAAAATATAATTCAAATTAAATACTAAAAAAAACACTCATATATGCATAAAACATCAAACATTAAAACATGCTCTCCAAGTCTCATCCCACCAAATTATGAAAAAAAAAAAAAATTATTCCACACAAACATACCATTTTCTAAAACAATGGCAAAATAATAATAATAATAAAAAATAACAATTAAATTTTAATTAATTCAAATTAATTTATTGGGTGTGTTTGTTTTATCTTTAATTTCTCAATTTAATTTATTTTTTTTATATTAAGTAAAAGAATATGTATTATCGATATATAAAAATTAA